ATTGGAATTTTTTCCATGTTTTTTTTCGGCTATATTTTTGGGTGTTGTTGCTGAATGCAGACAAGTTGACTATCGTCCTCGATTCGTGGCGGCATTCAATGCGGCTGGAAAATATAGGGGAACGTTGAGAGAAAAACGGAAAACTGGGACCTTTTCCTACTTATTATGCCGCCGCATGTTTCTCTATGTTTGCTCTTTTGCGGAATTATCGATTACAAATGAATATTTCATCAAGGGAAAGAGGCTACGAAAAATGTAGAAATGGTATAAGGAGGCTAAGAGGTGCCTGGCACCTGTCGCCTGGCGACTTCCGTTTCCGGGTCGCGAAGCTCGACGACTATTTGCAATTAAAATGCAGCATACTTTTCGGCAAAGAATTTTTAGCAGAGAAAGAAATTTTTGATATTTAGAGATTATTTTCTAAACAATTTAAGGCATAAATTCTAGAAATTATGCAAGAGTAGAAGATTCTACGTAATTATTATCAGCTATTAATAAAAACCAATCAAACCAAATGAAACGTTAAAAGTAGTTTTTAATAAGCTAAGAAATACAATCTTTTTTCCCAGTGACTTACAGAATCCTATTTCTTTTCCTACTCTCTCCTTGCCTCTTTAAACTGCTGTTTAATGTATGTCCCCACTTCTGTTTTGTGTCGCATAATTACCAATGCCAGGATAATTAAGGCAACGCCTGGCTGCCAGGCCACACATAAAAAGGACAACGAGTCCCGAATGCGGGTCCTGACTCCAGGGATTCCAATTTGGATTGGGCATGGAACGGGGACTAGTGGGTGGAATTGGGTGGTGAGGTAGTTTAGTGGTGCGAGCACGTGACTAACGGTAATGGCACGCCAAATCACAGGAGAAATGAAATGTTTGCCAGGCGGCAGTGTTCAGAATTCCAAATGCGAATAAGGGACAGGAAGTGGATTTTTCAACTGAATTTCCTTATTCTATTAGGGTGAAAAAAAGGAAATCCGTAAATTTATAGTGTATTTAATTTAGTTTGGAATGATATTTTGAAAAAACCATAGTGCGAATATGATGTGTTTTTAAAGAGCTTATTAATTTGAAATAAAATAAGCTTTAATACTATACTAATTTGTATTCAATACTAAAATTTAAGTGGCCAATTGTAAACAATTTATATTTAAACTCATTATTTAAATACATCAGCATAATCAATTAATGCAAGACCATGTCGTCCACGGCTTAAATTTCAATTAGAAGGTGTTCAGTGCCTGGAAAAAGGATTCCCTTTTTAGTGGCAACTCTTGATCCTCTTGTGCGAAATTCTTGCATAAACTCCACTTTAGATTTGCCTCCGGTTTACCTCTTGTTCACGAAACTTGAGCTGAAAGTGATTAAGGCTCACGTTTCGGGATTACGTAAGCTCCTACAGGGATACTTAGCCATCTGGGCCTCAGAGCGTTTATACATACTTTGTATGTGTATGTGTGTGATTGTCTGTTGAGCATATCATGTGTTTATGCGATTCCTGAAATGAACACCCCTTCATACCCCCGTTTCGTCACTAAAAACATTTTTACCTGGTCTTTTTGGGGCGTCCCCTGACACGTGAGCTCCATAAAAAAGGCAAGAAGGCCTCGTCATTTCATGGACGTTGCAGCACGCGAGGGGTCCTCTAACCCAAGCCACTTCCACTGTGTTCTCACCCCCCCAGCGTTTAGACCACCCCTGGCGTTTTCACTTTTGTTGGGATTTTCTCTGCTTGCTTTTCCCCGCTGCGTAAACATAGCTATTAAATGCGAACTGACCCCAAATGCTGACCGACTCAGTTCACAACTATCAACTACAGTCTGCGTTCTCTAAAACGAAAATTTCATTCTAGTTGAATTTGGATATTTTTTGGATTGATTATTGATTCTATCCACGTGCATTCTGAGGATTCTGACAATTGAGTTTTGTGCAATTGTGATGATTACGCAATTATTTTTGGGATTTAAAATATAACTTTTAGGTTACAACTTGATCTTTTTATTAGGCCAATCAAATTCACGGTTTGAAAGCTCGACGGTATTTAATTATCCCTAAGCCCTTTCCGAATTGGTAGTAAACGGGCGGTGCAACAACCTCGTTTCGTCGACCTTGAACCAGTTTCATTTTTAAAAAATTTCCAGCAGAAGGGAAAAGTCAAGGGGGCGAGATAGAAAGGGAAAAGTATTAGAAGACTTTGCCAACTTAGAACTTTTGCAAATATCTCGGCATATTAATAAGGCTTAGAGCGTCTAACGGCCATTTAATCGCAGCCACATACGCACACAGAGAATGCACATGTGTGGGTGGGAAAAATGAGATTCTATGACAGCAAACTAAAAATAAACAAATGAGCCAAGCCAAAAAACACAGGAAAAAATAGAAAGAGTTGAGTCTGTTGAGAAGCGCTTGCGTGGTGAGGAAAATGAAATGAAGAGATTAAATGGAAAAAACTGCCCGAGAGAGAGAGCAAGAGAGAGAGAGAGTCAAAAAGTGAGAGAGCCACCACAGTTATTGTTGTGGCTGCCAAAGGATTTCAAGGAAGTGAAATAGCTGCAGACTGAATTTTTCACAGACAAAGTTTCCTATCTGCTTCCTCTTCCTCGTGCTCCTCCTGTTCTTCTTCTTAGCTTTTCCTAGCTGTCACTTCCTGTGTATCAATGTGTGTGTGTGTGTGTGTGTGAGTTTGAGTGTGAAAGTGTGAGATTCAAAACACTCTCTATTTTAAAAAAAGATATTTTAAGTTTTTTGTATTGATCTTTGTTTGACGATATTTACTTTGATTTCAAAAATAATAAACCAATTTTACTAGTTGAGAAAATTGACCTAAAATATTGAACCAGCATAAAAATTAGAGTTCACCAAACTTGTTTAATATTTCCAAATAAGAAATACCTACGGTTAATTATAGGTATTTCTCACTAAGAGCCCCATTTATATTAAGTACCCCTTAGTATAGGTATTATGAAATATAAGTGTTAATAAGTTAGAACAATTAGGTATCAATTATTTGGAATCATTTGCCAAGACATTTTTATTACCATAATTCTTCTGGTTAATAAAAATAAATAACAATTAATACAAATTAAATAAAATGTACATATAGACTTCCTTGTATATTTATATAAAAATAAATATAAAAAAATGTATAATTTTTTGCTTAGCAGTGAACTTGGTTCAGTTGAACCAATTCAGATGGCGAACCGTGCACCAATACAACCAGACTGACACACACATACACACTCTTGGCTAGTCTGCTCTCGTAGTATCCTTTTCTACGGCTTTGAGAGTGTGTATATGTGTGTGTGTATGGCCCAAAGTGTTATATTGACATTTGGCTACATAATGATTTATGCTGCTGCAGGAGCCGAGCGATCCTTGCTTCTTGTAATTCCTGCTGCTATTTTTAGGGTCATGCCCATAATTTATTTTTATGTACAAGCAGCAGCAGCAACAACAACAGGAAAGAGGCAACTATATCACACACACACACACACTCAAACAGAGATATATATTTTTTAGGCAAGCGAAGGGCAAGCGCTGGAAAGCATGCTATGATTTTTCTGTGGGAGCTGGGCGGTTAATTCCGTGAGCTGGCAGGATGTGGGGTGGTGTGTTCGTGTATACAACTAGTTAAATAAATTTACACTTGACCCACCTATTTATTTCCCAGTTATATGTAGTTTTATATATTTTCTTCTCCTCCAAATGCGCGGCACGTTTCTATCTCCTTTATTTTTTGGCCAGCAAAAATCTTTTGAAAATTGCCTATTTTCTTGTGTGTGCACATGTGTGTATGTGTGTGTGATGGTGTTGGTGTGAGTGGATGGCGGGGGGTGGTGATGATGTTTCTTCCTCTTCTGCCCAACTTAATGCCAGTTCATTCATGGGCCAAAATTTGGTTTCAGTTTTCCTTTCGACTGTGTGTGTGTGAAACGGGAAGCTGGCATTTTATTTGTGATTTCCTGGATTATATTTTTTACTTTAAATTTTTTAGTTTTTCTTAAATATTTTGCACTTTTTTATTGCACTTTATTTTATTTTTGTTGCGTTATTATATTTTTCTCTTTTTTATTTAACACGCGCAGCAAAACAATTTTCATTTTTCACACACTCGCACGAAAATCATTACTCAGTATGCACGGCTTTCCACGGGCTTTTCATTTGCCAACCACCGCTCCCCTCGCCACACCATTTGGGCCATGCTGCCTTCACTGCCGTTTCTACTGCCTTTCAACATTTGCTAAAACACTCACACAGTCGCACGTCGGAGATATTATTGGGGCGGTTGGGGGGCGTGGCTGGTCGGGGGGCGGTTGAATGCAAAGCAGCAGAACGGACGTCGAAACAACGCGACACCAACACAGAAACAAGAGCAGAAAAAGACCGGAAAACCAACGAACCGACAGCGTTGAAAGCCAGCAAACGACTGAGTTTACAAAGCCCAAAAAGAAAACTGTGAAAGGAGAGAAAGTGATTAAGAGAAAGAGAGACTGCGTGCACATCCTTTGCAGAGGCGACAAAAGTTCACGGAACTGGCTCAGAGAGTCACCACTACCAACAAACAAATCATGAGGATACACAGAGAAGAAATACAGGTATTAATTGCATTATAAAAATTGAATTTTATTAAATTATTGTATGTTTCTTTGACAAAATTTCGTTTTTCGTACACACATAAAATGAAAACAAGCTTCGTACATACTACTTTGATAACTCACTTTATTTCCTATCATTTTTTTATTGCAGTGCAAATAAAAAGAGCGACCGACTTCGATTTGCTGATAAGCCGCTCAATTAAACGAATCTCACACGAAGCTCCGTCTATTATGATCAGTTGTGGTGGAAACTTTGGAAGAAACGAACGTGCGAGTTGCTGGGAAAATACAAAAGAAGAGCGAAGAATCGGAGGTGTACATACTATATAGTACAGCTATACTAAATACGAGTATAGCTTTGAAGGCGACTTTTTATAAATATAAATTCTGTAAATCCGACAAAATGGAAAGGTTTGCTTACCCTTATAGACATGTGGTAACTATATATAGATATATAACTATTAATACTTATAAACTTCTTAGTTTCTGGCAAGAATTGAAATCGTTGCTGAAGACTTTGCTCTGCTTTGTTGTTGCTTTGATGCTGGTGCCTTTATTGCTGTTATCGTTTCTATGTAAGTGTTCGACATATCCCCAGCAGTGATCGATGATCATCGATCCGCGACACGCGCTGCCTCACTGATAAGCCACATAAATCAAGAACTTCAAAAGGGGCCGGCTATATAAATAAACGATCCATGGGTTGATTAACCGATTCTCATTCAGCCAAAGGATCATCCATTAATGGAAACTAAAGTAGATAGATGATGCTGAGCGAGAAAGAGAGAGAGAGAGTCAGAGAGAAATCGTTGTAGATAAGCTTTTTGTTTATAAATAATACAGATTACCTGTTGCACCTTTGCGGAACCCAGACAATCGACCAAGCGAACCTTGACCAACTGAATTACTCATAAAAATGCTGCCATTGATAAGCTCAGTCTTTGCTGCTTATTACCCGGTAATCGGTGGGGATAATGGTATATTTCTATGGTGTAGAATTTGAATTGACTAAGTTAATCAGTTATAACTAGAAAATTTGGGGATGCCAAACAAGTAATAAAAACCAGAATTCGTAATCTATTAGGTAGGTTTTGGTGTTAATATGAACTATATAATTTAATAATTGTTTCACGACACTTAGAGTAGAGTGTAGAGTGCAGGGTATCTAATATTTGGGAAACTCATTTCCAATCGTTATTAGAATAGATTGCTATTATTTCTTTTATAGCTTTCTTAAGTGTTATGATTTGAATCGCAGGTTTTTAATATGACATTAGAGGTGGTAACAAAGAAAGACACTGAAATGAGGATAATTGCTATTTGGCCATCTACAAGCCGTATCCATTTTTTCAGGCGCTCACTTTGTCAACGAACTATCCAACTATGTGCTGAGCATCAAGTACCCGAACCTCACCATCTCAAAGTCCAAGAAGATCCGCACTTTAATCGACACGCCGAAGAATGCGGGCGTATTTCACTTTCTGCTACAAGTGGAAGGAAATTGTGACTTCGAGCGGATAAAGATGTCTTATGCCCAGTATCTGACTGATCTGAGGGATAAGACAGGGATGCTAAGGTTCCCAAAGCTGCGACAAAAGCTCGTCACTTGTTGGGGACATTATGCGTGGGTCAATGACAACAGGTAAGTGATTATATCTGAGATAAACTGTATTTAATGTGTATTACTTTATTTCCTTTAAGTGGCTTCAACATCAACAATCACGTTCTGCTCAGCACCCACAAATATCGGGGACGTCCAGTCACCGAATCGAATATTCAGGAATATGTCAGCGAACTGGCCACCAAGTACATTCCCTCAGATCTGCCACAGTGGCAAGTTATTGTGATTCCGAACTGGGATAGTAGTCAACCCTACTATGTCCTCATCAAATTACATCATCTGATAATTGCTGAGGAGGAGGATCTGCATGTGAGTGAGATGCTGCTGCTTCAGGACCCACAAAAGAAAACCATGTTGACATTGTATGAGGGTTTGGGTCAGAGGTCAAACCAACAACTCTCTCGTTTCGTACGAAAACCTGAACACATCAGTAGGCTGATTAGTCATCTAATTAGTCTTGTCATCTGCCGCTGGCAAAAGTTCATCTACGAATTCGAATCTCTTGAAACTCCCGACGGCTCCTCATCTACTATTCAAGTTAAGAACCTCAGTCAGTTACTCTCACTTATAGTAATTGTCTTGGTAAACGTGGTTTTCGGTTATATTAGGAGTCGCTCCATGCTCAAGAAACTGAAAAGGCGTTCAGGTAGTTACCGTAATGAAGTGGGTCGAATTCAAACGATTCGATTGCTTTTAAATAGGGAATTAGAGCACAGGAATCTCAGTTGGTCGGTAGCCAGAAGTGCCGTATATAACAGTTTGCAGCCCACTAATTTGGCCAAGGTTTGGACCCGTTTTCTTTGGCGCCTAAATTTAAATCACGTTTTGCTTCTACCCTATCACATTTACTGTGAGTTTTTGGCCTTCGCTGATGTTGTGTTCAAGGGACAAACCTCCTACTCATCAACCTATTGCGCCAGGCTGCATTTATATGTACCACTTTTACTCTATGCTCAGTTGGAGTTTTTCAAAATTTGTTGGGAGCTTTTCCAGGCTCCTAGAAACATTTACGAAGTCCTTGTTGAACAGCCCACAAAAGAGTTGAACATTCTGCATAAGAAATCGTATGCAGGCAGGAAAATTGTCTCCTTTGGGCGATCGATAAATGGCGCTCAACTTAGGAACCGCAATCATGGTAAATTTAATAATGATCTCAGAGAATCGGATTTTAGTTTAACTTGCCTAGCAGGTGCTGTCCACGACTATTTTGATACATTTTCGGGCGATATGAAAGTTCCCAATTTTCTTAACACAACCTGTAGGACCATAGATAAAGGATACTTCACGGATCGCGGTGGGGATAAATCGGAAAACATTGGGGGCGTTGTCTTCCTCCAATTGCCTTTAAGGAAACCAGACGTAGAACACGCTAAGGAACTCCATCAAATTGTTGAAAGAATCAGAAGGCAACAAATCATAATTTATTTAGCTTCTATTGGCCAGACAAAGTACAGCCTTCTCACATCCCTTTTTCCCCATGTAATTACAAAAATTTTCATTAACTTTTTCTCATACAACTTTCCCATCACAATCACTGAGATCTATGGAGCCACTGATGAGTTTCAATCTGCTTGGGGCCAGAAAGTCCAGGATGTGCTACTATTCCGTCCTCCCCAATCGAAAACCTGTCTATCTCTAAATCTTCACCGCTTTGGTGACAAGTATAGACTGGCCGTGATGGCGGATACACATCTGGCACCCGATCACACAATAATCACCAGATCTTTTGAACAATATATGGAAACAACCATTATTTAATAAGGAAAAACGTTCTCTCGTCTTTTTAAAGTCAGGGCCAATTTACATGCAATATGTATACGAAATAAAAACTATTTATCCAAAAGTAAGAAATTTATTTTGTTTTGTTTATCTTAATAAAGAACTCTTTGATATAAATGTCTGCTCAAAACATTAACTAAGTAAACTTTTTCTGTGTGTCGGCTTAATCAATATGGACAATAACAATAAATATCGTAAAAAGAGCATTTCTTTGAGGCGAAGAATAGTTCAGTAAGTTTCGAAAAAGAGAAACCTTAAAATTCTAATAATATTCTTTAAGCAGCCACTCATAGAAAACAAACATGTTCAGCGTCCTTATAAGGAACTCGAAAGCCGAATACGTAAAGAAAAAATAAATACTTCCGAAGATATCGAACACCTTTTCAAAGAGACTTTTAGTATGGAAAAGACAAGACATCATTATAATGATAACTATCACAGACAATGTCCATGCCAGAATCGACATTGCGCTAATAAATATGAACAGCAACTTCAACGAGCTAAAGAAATATTGTCTAGGAAGTATTGCAATGGTGATTGCCCAGGGTCCCGACATCACCAGGTAAACATTTTTAAGAAATCTTTTTTTAAGATTTTTAATTTGTAATCTCACAGAATTCATGTCAGCAGTCGCCTCTACGTGGAATAATGGAACCAGAACTTAGTCCCAGATATTCACCGAAACTACGCAATTACGGAGACCACTTATCTCATAGTACTCGGAAACAGGAACGACAGGAGGAAAAAGGTGGGGAAGATTTTATTCTCTACAAGAACTTGACTTTTGGAGAGCCTCCATCAAGTAAAAGTGAGCATGGTGGCGATGATGGTAATAAGCAAAAAACAACATTCCAAAGCAACCACCAAAATCATAAGAAAGATTCTAAAAACTATCTTGAAGCAGCTAAGGCTCAATGCCATGCTGCTGGTGAACGGTTCCAGCGGCAGCTTGTTCATTCTAGCGAAAGTTCATCCTCCAAGAACACCAAGTCAAAACTCTCCAAAGTAACCGTGATCAGTGCAAAGAGCGGCGACGACCTCAGAGCAGCAGTTAGATTGCAAATAGAAGAGCAGGAAGCATTACACAAGTTATCGATGATGGAGAAACGTAGAAAGGAAGAAGTAGAACCAGATGGCAAAAATATCAACCAGAAATTAGATCCAAAGCCTGAGGATGTGCTTAAACCCCATTTAAATTCAGACGACCTGCAACATATTGACTGCAGTATTAGTTCCGATGATCTAGTTTGCACCAAAGTTATTGAGCCTATGATGAGAAAAATTCAACGGATGTACCTTTACACTTTAAAGGAGGAAATGTCCCTAATGGATTATTTGGGTACGGTACCGAAATTGGTAAGGGACATTTATAAGCAAGAGCCTGCTGAAAAGGATGAAAAAAAGATCTAGGGAATTACTGGAATTAATTTTAACTTTATTTATTAATGATTTGTATATTTTGTATATTCCAATGATGGGGAAATTATTTTTTTTATTTTACAGATATAAATTTTAATATATTTTTGTTAATTGCCCTTTAAATGACGCGCCTTTTAAGTATTAACTTTTTTATGACCACAGTCAGATGGCGTTTAGTTAGCGTTGGCAGGGGTGAAAACTTATGAATAAGTTATCGATACCAACCATCGATTGCCGAGTTCAGGTTGCACCTTGGCCTACAGATGGCAGTTATTAAAAACACAGAAAACGGCAAGATTTTGCCATCTATGATTATCCGTCACCTTTCGCAACGGTCTGTAGGAGGCGTCTTAGTAAGCTTGCTTCTAAGTTCTTATAGATGGCGGTTTCGTTAACAGAGCCGTTTAAAGTCATTAAAAAACAGTGTTGCAAAACGTAAAACCCCTGTTCAATCGATAGTGCCATCGCTGTTTCCCCCGCCACCCATACTGCGGCTTCTAGAACAAAAAAACTATTCGCGAATTGATGAAAACGCCGCTGCGGAAATTGTGGCAGCTAATAAAAACCTCGCGGAGGAGGCGCGGGTGAAGTTCTAACCAAAGTAAGATAAAAGGCACGGCTAGCTGAGAGGCGTCACGTAGACGGCCGACTGATCGATATTCAATACAGCCACAGGGCAGCACACACCCACACAAGCGTGTGTGTCGCCACACACACAAACACATGGATAACACTCGAGGTGGCGAAAATAATGTAGAATTGGCCAACGGCGACAAGGATTTGGCCAAGGAGTCACCAGAAAATGGGGAAAAATCAGGGCAGGAGGGACTTAAAGGGGTGGGTGAAGTTTCCAAGGGGCGGGAAACGCCTGCAAAGGGGGTAAACAACGAGGCGGCAGTGGAAAACAACAACGCAAATGCCCGCGGAAATGCCAGTCCAACAACTACAAGCGCAGAGGACGCAGCAACAAAAACAAATACACTAGCAGAAGCAGAAACAGCAGCAGCAGCAACAACAACTGCAAACAGCAACTTTTTACCCATACAGCAGCAACAACAATTGCAGTCAGGCGATGGGAATGCAAATAACACAACAACAGCTACAGCTGCAGCAACAACAACTGCCTTGGCAGAGACAACAATAACAACCACAAATACAGACGAGAAGACAGGTAAAGTAAAGCGAAATTCGCAGAAAACAGATCCAATGCCAACTAATGTGATTTACATCCACCCTTCACCACCCACAGAAGAGCGCAATCACAAAAGGAAAAAAAGAGATAAGGAGCGTGATGAAGATAAGAATCGGCGGAGCAGCAACCACAACAGTAGTACCAAGGATCGGGACAAGGAACGAGATCGGGATAGGGAGCGTGAGCGGGAAAGGGAAAAGGACCGAGAACGCGACAGGAATCGCGAGAGCAGCTCCAAATCCTCCAAGGACAACGACTACAAGTCAAGCTCATCGCGCAGCAAAGACAAAAAGTACCACCGCAGCGATAGGGAGAGAGAACGCGATCGGGAGAAGGTAAGATATGGCAAACTATATTGGTCAAAATATATATTATTCCCGACTTTGTCACCCCACGAACTTGATAAATCGGTAGTTTCAGATATAATATAATAATATTTGTTGATAACGCCTTGATATCACTGGTTACCTTGTAATGTAGAAAAATTCTACTTTTTTAAATTACTAAAAAGCCTTAGCCAAGCCATGACTCTTTCAAAATATAACTTAGAGCTCCAATAAAAGGCTGATAACGTGATCTTTAATATACCGAGTAATGTTTAATGAAAATATTTATATATTGTGACGTCGTTACATAGAGCTAGACAAACCGTAGAAGGCACTAGAAGTTTGCGCAGCTGTCCATCAAAGTATAAACTTTCAAGAACTTTAAACAATTTTCCTTGTTACTTTTCAGATCCCCTCCTCTTCATCCAGCTCATCTTCGCACTCGCATCGCCGACGGAGTTCCGATAGCAGCCGAAGCAGTCAGAACAGTTCATCCAAATTAAAGGAACCTGATTCGGTTCTCCCACAATCGGTGGTTACTGTACTAAAGCAGAAAAGTAATGTGGAGGATGACATTAAAAAGGAACCAGTGGCCACCAAACTAGAAGCGGTATCAGAACCATCACCAGTACTTAGTAACCTCATCAAAACTGAAGCGGAAATCAAAAAGGAAGTTACGGTTGAGCCACCATTTGGTTTGCCATTGGTAAATGGAGAGGCTGCCGGAAAAACACGCGAGGAGGTCACCAGACAGTTAGACTTCGGGGACAAGAGCAATTCTAAGCTAATGCCATCACCGGCACCGAAAACCGTTTCGGTTTCGAATTCCTCATCGAGCAATCATTCCTCCAGCCAGAACAACAGTAACCGCAAGTCCTACACGTCTTCATCGTCGTCTTCATCCTCCAGCAACCATCACAAGAGTTCCTCATCGTCATCTTCTCGTCATTCTTCCTCCTCTTCATCGTCATCTCGGGACTGCTCCAAGTGCTACAAGCGCTCTAAGATACGGAGAACCAGTGTGGGCGTACAGTGCTTGCAACATGCACCAGCCGCTGGACCCTGGCAAACAGTTCAGAGTCTGCCGCCAAGGCCAAATCGTAAACCGCCAGCTGGCTTGGAGAACCTTAAGTACGGCTGCTACTTCCAGGTTGAGCAATATCCGAACGGTGGGGCATCCATTGTTCACCTGTATCAGCATGAAATAGACGCATTGCCGCCGGACGAAATGGAAGAGCTGGTTGATGAGTTCTTTGAAGTCTGCTTCGCCGAAGATGAGCAGGGTTATGCCCACCACGTAATGGGCATTGTTCACGATGCGGCGAGGTATCTGCCCGATCTCCTCGAGCACATGGCTGAGAACTACTCAACGCTGACCGTGAAGGCGGGAGTTCTCGGGCGTAATTCAGACATCGAGACCTGCACGATGTCCCAATACAATGAGCAGGTAAGCAAATATAGAAAACATTTTATATTTATTTACAAAGACGTCCTTAAATTATTATTATTATTCATAGGTGGTTCGCAACTATTGCCAAGGAACCTTTCGATATGGACCCCTGCATCAGATCAGTCTTGTAGGAAAAGTACATGAAGAGGTGGGCGGCTATTTTCCGGATCTCTTGGGTCGCATTGAAATGAATCCTTTTTTAAGAAAGGTATTTATTATGAGTAAATAATTAAAATTCCTTGTCTAATATAACTTTTTCCCTAGACTATGCCCTGGGCTTGTAATTCCATACTTCAAACGGATCCTCGACAGTCGAACGATGGTCCTATCCTCTGGATACGTGCTGGCGAGCAGTTGGTGCCTACTGCAGAGCTAAATAGCAAGACCCCGCTCAAGAGGCAAAGGTGAGTAGCCTTGAGAAGATTATTATATTTAGTTTTTGGCTAACCAATCATTTTTAATCTACCCAGAACTCGTATCAATGAGCTTCGTAATCTTCAATACCTGCCCCGTTTGTCGGAGGCTCGTGAGACGATGATCGAGGATCGAACCAAAGCGCATGCAGATCATGTTGGTCATGGCCACGAGCGCATCACCACCGCTGCAGTTGGTGAGCTGCTCCTAATGGTCATGCTTCCCTGAAATTCGCTAATTTATTACTGTTTTTCAGGCATACTTAAGGCCGTGCACTGTGGACAAACCTACTCGCAGAACCGCATCACCAAAGACGTGGTCGCTTTTGCCGCGCAGGACTTCAATACAATGGTGGAAATGCTGCAGCTGGACCTGCACGAGCCGCCGATCTCGCAGTGCGTTCAGTGGATCGAGGATGCCAAGCTGAACCAGCTACGCCGGGAGGGCGTGCGTTACGCGCGTATCCAGCTGTGCGACAATGACATATACTTCTTACCGCGAAACATAATCCACCAGTTTCGAACTGTCACGGCGGTGACGAGCGTAGGTTAGAAATCAGTAAAAATTTATACTTTATTAGAATCATTGGCTAATATTATTTCTTCAGCATGGCATCTACGCCTTCGACAGTATTATCCCGGACAGGAGGTGATTAACGAGAAAAATAATCCAGTGCTAGCAGAAACGCCACACTATAAGGAAAAACAAACGATCCTGCCAAACCCGATTAGCCATGACGAATGTGGTAAAAAGACGCCCTCAAAGCGTACACACGATGGCAGGACAAAGAAGAAACTTATTGACCTCGATGGGAAGGAGCGGCGTTCCAGTGAGAGCAGCATTGACGAACAGCCATCTGCAGGAAGTTCCTCCCCGGGTCAGAATCAGGAAAGCAATAGCAACAGTAGTAGTCTGAGCAGTGCGAGTGGGGTCGGTACACCCAAAAAGAAGACCAGCAAGGATGACTCTAAGATAGATATGAGGAAAATGGTTTTGGAGCACAAATATAAGCTCACCAAAGCGGCGGTTGTGGGTACTCAAGAGAAGGAAAAGCCCAAAAAGGAAAAGGAGAAAGAAAAGCCAAGGGAGAAGGATAGAGATAAAGATAAGGATAAAGACAAAGAAAAGGAGAAGGAAAAGGAAAAGGAAAAGGAAAGGAGGAGCGAAACTCCCAAAAAACATTCAACGCCAGCCAAGAGCTGTTCCATAAGCGAGCCTTCGCCAGCTAAAATTCCCCGTTTAAACAATGATGCATCTACCAATTCTCCTGTTTCCACAGTTGTTCCAAAAGCTGCTCCTACACTTAAACCTGTACCTATTCCTATACCCGCATGTGCACCACTTACCACCATCCTGCCAGGACTGCCACCTCCACTTGTGCCTCAGACACCTTTCATTCATCGTCTTAACCAAAAAGAGCCCGAGATCAAAATTCAAGTGAAGATCGTGTCCGATAGCAAAAGTGATAATAGTACCTCCAGTCTGGCACTAACAGCTGCAGCGCCACCACCACCTCCGCCTCCCGATCCAGTTGATGATGTGGGAAATGAGCTTATTGTGGAGAGCACACCCCAATTGATTGTTGATCACGAGGAAGAGGTTACCGAAGTGTGTGCTGAGGAGATTGTGGAAATGGATATACCAATTCCTAAAGAACCAATCCCAGCCCCTGCTCCCACAGTACTAACTCCTACTTCTCCACCACTTAATATTACTCACTCCACTCCGGCTTCAGTTTCCTCTCCCATAAAACATGCTGTACTACATCCTCCGCTGCCAATTGTTGCGGCTCCACCTCCTCCGCCACCAACTCAAATTGTAAAAGTAGTTCTGCCAGCCTCCTTAGCACCTCTCACCAGGATGTCTGTGGTTTTGCCACCCTTGCCGCCATTGCCACCTTCACGGGCAACAGCCCCCCCGCCCCCACCGCCGCCGCCAAGCACCAAAAGCAGCGGCACCACAATGCCTATAACATCTAACATTTCCCCGCTAAAACCCACCTATAAAACCATTACTTTGCCCTCACACAAGATCATTATCGCAGGCACCGCAGGAGGAAATCGCGTCCCCGTGGCAAAGGGGATGACAAAGAGACCTGACCTGTTGGGATCCATCATAGCCAGCATGGACAAGCCAGCGGGGAGTGGCTCCAATAGTAACTCCTCATCATCGACATCCTCGGCAACAACGAATAGTTCGCTCTCCTCATACGCCAACTCTAACAATAGCTTCTGAAATTGGAAGGAGGAATGGAAGGAGAGTGAAAGTAGAGGCTCCTTTTTGGACTTTATGTGAAACTATATATTTTGTAAATTTAATAGTCTTTTGGAATTCCGTTTAACGGATTTCGAGGGTGAATTCTTTTCAGAAAGACCTCAGCGCAGAAGGAGATTAAATACGCTAAGGTATATCTTACTTATTACAAAATTGTTGTGGCTTAGGTTAATATATAAATTTTTTTAGTTGTACGAAAATGTTCGCTATTTTTGACTTTATATTCTGTATAAGTCCATTTATACAAGTCTTAAGAAAATTGTAATTCCTTGTTCTGCAATATAAGTAGCCACAGTTTTGTGTTAAGTGAGCAAAATCTCCTTCGGTGCGGAGGTATCTTCCTTTGTATATAGCCAAAACCTTATATGTAGTCCTACACCTCACATACAAACACCCCTATATTTGATAACGAATTGTAGATTTATAAGCTCAAATCGCGAGACACTTGATAGAGATGTAGTTTTTTAATTTATTTACACCACCAACCACACCGCAGGCACTTTTTAGATACAACAATTGAACTTTTTTAAAGCAGGCAGGTACATTTAACTGTTATAGTGTGTTTTTTATAATGGCACGCACCTTATTGGCCAGACACTTGTACTCGTTAAAAGTATAAATATAAAGCCAATAGGCTTGGCAAAGGTCCCAGTTTAATTTCCTTCTCAACAACTTTTTTGAAAAGTGTTTTGAAAGTGCGTAGAACAATACACACATTGATAATTACAATAATATATATATATACACCATATATAACTGTAGAATTAAGTCAGCTTACACGTTGAAGAAACAATAAAAATTCGGATCGTAAAAAAATGTGAATGGTTTTTTAATCAAGTCACTTAAGTCCCAAAAAAAAGCTCAAAGAACAGCACATCTTTGGATTACGGATATAACATTTTAATCTCTAGAGAAATAATACAAAAATCGTACAAAAAGCGTATTATGGATACATCCATAGAATAGGTATAACAGATCCAAAGCCACCTAAATATTGCAAAGCACAGGGAATATTAAAAATAAAGATGTCTATAGCTTGGAGCGTAGCTCCTCGATTCTTCCTTGAGCAGATCGCTGCAGGTCCATCAGCTTCATTGCAAAGCCCATGTTGCCCTGGATCTTGATCTTGCCCTGGAAGAAGGCCTTTTGCGGTGGCAACTTTCCTGTTAGAAGCTCAAACACGTCTTCGTCGCTAATGATGAAGGTGACATCGCACTTCTCTGTAGTAAGAAAGGAAAAAACGATAAAGCTGCAATATTATTATGAATTTAAAGTGAGCTTACGAGTTCCATTAAAGACGATCTTTCCCTTGCCTTGCTTCGCATCAATCACCCAGAATCCGGTCTGGCCATTGGGTCCGTTGTTGACCTTGAATCCGTAAATGGCGCGAACCTTCTCGATCAGATTGTCCTTGTCCTCCTGCATGGCCTGCTCAAGAACTTTGAGCAAGAGGGCAACCTTAAATCCATCTTCACTAGTAGCTGCTTTACTCGCAGCAGTCAGGTTGCGAATCACGTTGTTGGCAGCGGGGAATCCTAGACGATACAGAGCTACCACTACAGCTCCTCCCAAACCCAGATTGTGCTGCAGAGCCAACTGTGCGTTAGGCACCTGCCGTTTCTCAGCCAATCCACGGAGCTGCCAGCAGAGCTCAGCACACTGAGCCAAACCAGTGGCTCCCAGAGGATGACCCTTAGAGATAAGTCCACCACTTGGGTTCACCACGAACTTTCCACCGTAGGTGTTGTCTCCAGCGTCAATAAATTCGCCAGCCTTTCCCTCTCCACACAGTCCTAGTGCCTCATAAGTGACCAATTCGTTGGCCGAGAAGCAATCGTGCAGCTCCACCACCTGCACATCCTGGGGCTTGTATCCGCTCTTGGCAAACAGACGCTGAGTGGCCAGACGGGTCATGTCGGTTCCAGCAATCTTCATGAGACTCTTGTCGGCGAAGGTGGACGCAGGGTCACTTGCCATCTCCATGCCCACAATCTCCACAGCCTGCTTTTCTAGTCCATGGCGACGAACGAAGGCCTCGGAAGCGAGGATGGCTGCTCCGGATCCATCGGAAGTGGGACAGCACTGCAGCTTGGTCAGCACACCCTCCACAACCTGTGGCGACTTCATAATCTGCTCCAGGGTGTACTCATCGCGGAACTGCGAGTAGCTAAGCGAAGGCAATAAGACCAACGATTAGATAAAGCGTACCAAAATGATTATAGCTAAGCCTTACGGATTATTGACAGAGTGCTTGTGGTTCTTCCAGGCGATCTTGCCGAAGTGTTCGGGCTTGGTGCCGTACTTCTGCATATGCTCCTTGCCAGCATTGCCAAAGATTTGGGCAGCCATGGGACCAGCTCCGATCTCGGTCAGCTCACCCATCTCGGTGATATGGCGCTCCATGGGATTGGCACGATCAAAGTACTAAGGAGGAAAGGATAATGGATCAGTAGAGGGTTTGGTGGTGAGCTGAGCAATGTACCTTTGAGGAAAGAGATCCACGCTCCATCTTCTCAAACCCCAAAGCCAAAACACAGTCTGCATTTCCACTCTCGACGATCTGCTTGGCCAGATAGAGGGCACTCGATCCTGTGGAGCAGTTGTTGTTCACGTTGTAAACAGGAATGCCGGTCATTCCCACTTCGTAGATTGCCCGCTGCCCGCAGGTGGAGTCTCCATAGACATAACCAGCCACTGCCTGCTGCACTTCTTCGTACTTGATGCCCGCATCCTGGAGAGCTTTCGTAATTGCCTCCTTGGCAAAGTCTGGGTAGCAAACGTCAGCTCGGCGACCAGGCTTCTCAAACTGCAGAAGAAAAATTATTTCATATTAGATTATCACAGATTAGCATTAGCAACCCATAAAAGTACTTTTCTAATCTTGACCACTTCAGGGGGCCATAGGATCGATACTGATAGTCGTTATAATAATTATAATAATGATAATGGAGTAGAGCAGCAAACATTCGAGAGCAGATTAGCGTACGAAGTGCAGCCCAGTTCAAAGTCCGGTAATCGTTAAATATTTCTCAATATTAAAGTTACTTGAAAGTTCGCAAAGCTGCTCTTTGAATTCTTTGTTTTGGTTTTAGTTTTTTTCACCGTCAGGTTGCTAATTACTTGCATGGATTTCGAAACACATACCTTGGTCATGCCCACTCCGACAACATAAACACGGCTCTTCGTCATTTTGCAGCGAAATCGTAAAATAAAAAACAAGTAAAACAGCAGTTAGTGCTCAAGAGCGATTAATTAAAATTTAGTCGGGAGGCTAGAAGCTGTGCGCAGTGAGACCAGGTTTCTGTACAGCAATAAATGGTTATACTGGACTGATGTCAACGGATGCGCGCGTTTTTGAAAAGTGTTGCTGCCCTGAAATATTTTACAACAAAAAAAATTATTTATGAAAGTAAAACTTAGATATTAAGAAAATTTAAAGTAAAAATCAAACCGAAAAACAGCGTACATTTATCGCATGTACATAAAGTCCAAATAGTTCGAAACTAGTTGTTATCAAAATTCACAGTTTTGGAAAGCAGCGGATTGGACGTATACCAAGAAAAATACCGAATCAATACTTATAAGTCTGCAGCCCTGCTAATAGTGGTATAACGGATTATAATAATTAGAGATACTTAGGTATATACAAAAATATTGAAAAACTTATGAAGAATTGGAATATGAATAAATAAATCTTATCAGGTAAAAATATTTCTAAATTTGTTGAAGTCATAGACAGATATTAATACACACTTTAGCTCGAAACAAGCTAAACCGACAGTACTGTTCTTATCATATCTATCGTATATAAACCTGCAACCTGTTGATCCACCACAGTCAATATAGAAAGTCCGATCCGTGATCCCGCAGAGCACAAACAGCCAAAAATGACAAAGACCAGAGTTTATGTTATCGGAGTGGGCATGACCAAGGTTCGCTGCAGATGATTAACCTTTGTGCCTTATTGGATTTTAATATCTATTCGATCTTCTTATTCAATTTCCGTTAGTTCGAAAAGCCCGGTCGCCGAGCTGATGTTTGCTACCCAGACTTTGCCAAGGAGGCAATTACAAAAGCTCTCCAGGATGCGGGCATTAAGTTCGAGGAAGTGCAGCAGGCAGTGGCTGGTTATGTCTATGGAGACTCCACCTGCGGCCAGCGGGCGATTTACGAGGTGGGAATGACCGGCATTCCTGTCTACAACGTAAACAACAACTGCTCCACAGGATCGAGTGCCCTCTATCTGGCCAAGCAGATCGTCGAGAGCGGGAACTCCGACTGCGTTTTGGCGTTGGGATTTGAAAAAATGGAGCGGGGCTCCCTGTCATCAAAGGTAGCTCACTAAGTCTCTTTACCAATCCCTGAACTGATCCTTTATTCTTTTCAAATTTAGTACTTTGATCGTGCCAATCCTATGGAGCGCCATATCACCGAGATGGGTGAGCTGACCGAGATCGGAGCTGGTCCCATGGCTGCCCAGATTTTTGGTAACGCTGGCAAGGAACACATGCAGAAGTACGGCACCAAGCCCGAGCATTTTGGCAAGATCGCCTGGAAGAACCACAAGCACTCCGTTAACAATCCGTAAGTTCAGTCGAAAGTTCACCTTACTTGTGCTTATCTTATCGCATAAGTAGAACATAGACCATCATCCACTCCAAGGGCTGTATGCAGCTGATCCGCACACACTACGATTTTTTATCTGTCGTCACTGATTGCTTTCAGCTACTCGCAATTCCGCGATGAATACACCCTGGAGCAGATTATGAAGTCGCCACAGGTTGTGGAGGGTGTGCTGACCAAGCTGCAGTGCTGTCCCACTTCCGATGGATCTGGAGCAGCCATCCTCGCTTCCGAGGCCTTTGTTCGTCGCCATGGACTAGAAAAGCAGGCTGTGGAGATTGTGGGCATGGAGATGGCAAGTGACCCGGCGTCAACCTTCGCCGACAAGAGCCTCATGAAGATTGCTGGAACCGACATGACCCGTCTGGCCACTCAGCGTCTGTTTGCCAAGAGCGGATACAAGCCCCAGGATGTGCAGGTGGTGGAGCTGCACGATTGCTTCTCGGCCAACGAATTGGTCACTTATGAGGCACTAGGACTGTGTGGAGAGGGAAAGGCTGGCGAGTTTATTGACGCTGGAGACAATACCTACGGTGGAAAGTTTGTGGTAAACCCAAGTGGTGGACTTATCTCTAAGGGTCATCCTCTGGGAGCCACGGGTTTGGCTCAGTGTGCTGAGCTCTGCTGGCAGCTCCGTGGATTGGCTGAGAAACGGCAGGTGCCTAACGCCCAGTTGGCTCTGCAGCACAATCTGGGTTTGGGAGGAGCTGTAGTAGTAGCTTTGTATCGACTGGGTTTCCCCGGTGCCTCCAAGGCAAAGTTGTAAGGGATGGGAACTATTGTAAATATTTTTAATCAAACTTAAATTTTCAACTTCACAGAGAGTGTTCGGCGTAGATATTTTATTTTTATTATGGTTGATAAAAATGAAATAAAGAAATATTGTATTTATAAAAATTTTTGATCTTCAGATTCCAATAAATCAATTAACTAGTTTTGATTTGAAATTTATACAACTTTGTACAAACCTGAACAGATCAGATAATTTAAATGATTTTTATTTGCGTTTTAGCTTTTTGTCATCGTTAAGCTTTCCTCTTCTAAACAGTCGGATTAATCCCACGCAAGCGACTACAGGAAGTAGCAGGCTAATGATGACTACGAAGTAAACATCCAAGGAGTAATAAACAAAGCGGGGCAGACGCACTGCACATGGTTGGGTCAAAGGAGCTCCTTTCGTCTCCGCTACATGTTCAACCCACCAGACGGCCGTCTCCAAGGGATCCTGGATGCGATTGTTGTAAGCTGCGGCCACCTCCTTAGCTCTAGATTTAAAAGAAGGATCCAATGCCTTGGTTAAAGCTTCATATACCGTATTTTCATCCATTTTCTTAAACTGTAACTGCAGAGCCATTCCTCGCTGAACCAATGCAGCAACATTGAGTGACTGATCGCCATAAATTGGAACGCCCACAATGGGCACAGCACTTGATACCGCCTCGGTGGTACCCATCAGTCCACCGTGAGAGAAAAATACCCTTAGATTGGGATGTGCTAGGATATCACGCTGAGGAATCCACTTTCTGATGTGCACATTTGCTGGTTTATTTGGCAGGGTGTCGTTTTCAAACTTCCAGATCACCTCCTGCTCCAACCTTCCAAGGGCACGAACTATGCCATCTCGCCGGCCAGCGGGAAGGGAACTTGCTTTTAGCTGAGAGCCCCAGCTGATGAGGATGACTCCTTTGGATGCATTATCCAGTATTTGCTGGAGATCTTCGGGTAGAGGTTTCGGTGGCCTGATATGAACTCCACCGACTTCAATGATATTCGGCGGTAGAGGCTTAGGACCACTCAGCGAAAAGTGTTGGTTGACCAGCATCAAAGAAGTATTTTTAACCATATCTTCAGTGGATGGCAAACCAGGTCCAAATCTCTGGCGGATTAAAGCGTTTCCGGCAGGCACAGAAAACATTCTATGCAAAATAATTAGCTATGTAGGTAAACTAGAAAGAAGTTGTAGAAACTATACTTACTTGTACAGTAAATTGAGAGAGTGAACAGTAATCCAGTTAGCCAATCGTCCCGAAAAGGACATATCCTGCGATTGTCCCTGGAAAAGTGCTGATATATATGATGGGATCAGAGGAGCACCGAACCTCTCGTAATGCCACGGCATCAGGGCACAACTGCTCATTCCAATAACCGGAGCTTGGAGCACATGGGCCACACTCATAGCACAATCAGAATTAAATTGCTCCAGCAGAACCACATCATAGTAACCAGCAGGATGTTTCAGGATTTCTGATAGGGCTTCGCTATACAGGGTGGTGTTGCAATCTTCTTTTCCCATGTTATACAGGACAAAGAACTCTAAGTAGTGGAACAAATAGCTGTAAGGTCGTTCAAAGTCCTGTTGGAAGAGTTAAATAAAATTGTTTAATTAAATAACGTAAACTTTAGATTACATTTAATACTTATGAATGGAATTTGTTTATATACTTGTATTAGGAATGATAAAAAGGTTATTCTAGAGTTCATAAGTTGCTATTAAAAAGCACTTACACGACTAAGTAATATATAAAGAATATTATATTGTGTTATTAAGATTCTAAATTTAGCTTTTTAGCAACTTACCTCCAAGTGAATAGATTCCGTCAAATTAGAGGGGGGCAGCAAATAGTCCTTATATCCCTTTGGTGGCTCCTTGTCTTCAAAGGGACTGATGACATCCACACTGTGGCCAGCCTCAGCAAGTCCCCGCATAATTGGGTGAAAGAACTTGAAGTGGCTGATGGCTGGATGAGGAAACAAACCCAAGATGCGTAGGGAATCACAGGAAAATGACAGAGAAAGTAATGCCAGCAAGCAGAAACCCATCCGAGCACACATTTTGCTAAAATACAAGCATGCATTTATTAGATTTGTATGACTGTAAATGTGAAATGCACTTCTAAATTTAACTAATCATTTTTTTTCATAAGCAATTAGCAAACACAAAAAATATTCACCGGCGTTTGGCTTTCACAGGGAGAGAGATCCGAAACGGTCGAAAGATGAGTATCAACTGACACAGATGAGTACGGAAAGAGCTTGATAAAGAGGCGACAACATATATATAATATATTCATAAATAATCGTACATACATGTTTAAACAAAACTAACACGCACCAAGTTGAGAGGGAATTTAAGAGAGGAGCCAAAAGTAGAAGATGTTGTCTTCAAGAGTAAAAAAATTAGAAGAACATCGATAGTGAAATTTGTCTATGTTGTTTTTTGTAAAGTAAGGTCAAAAAACTGTATAATAAGTAAAAGGAAAAACATTAATCATTTCAAATTTGTTTCTGTGTAAACTTATCTAAAACATCAGAAGAAGAATATTAACGAACCCCTGAAAGTATGCACTTATAATTTTCTTTAGAGAAGCTTTTGAAATAAACGTTGCAAATGCAAACACTATTGTTTATAATACCAATTGAATTAAACATTATATTTAATTTGGCGTGACTATGATTACATCTAGATAAAGTCCTTGAGAGGAGGCGTCTATACAATTACAAGTTTCTTACACAGAACATATAAAATATCACATACACCACGAAAGAAACGGCGCCGGGATGATCCCGGCTAATCCCTCTTGGTCTTTACGGCTGATCTGGATCCACAGCAGAGTCGAAGGAGCCACACCCAACTAGCAATAACAATGGCCAAGATTAGGGCCAACACAGCATAGCAGTCCAAGGAGTAGTACACGAAACGGGACATCTCCACAGCACTGGGCTTTAGCAGGGGTGCTCCTCCCGTATGGGCCACATGCTCCACCCACCAAAGTGCGGTTGCCAGAGCCTGCTGTGGGCGGTGGTTAAACGAGTGGGAGACGACCTTGGCGGCATCGTAGTATCTTTAAATAAGGAAAAATATTAGTAAAGGATATAACTATGATACCTGATACTTACTTTTTGTCTAAAGCCTTTTTCAAAGCGCGCATCACTGTGTTCTCTCCGATATCCTCGAAATTAAGGATGGTTCCCATGCCTCGTTGCACCAAGGCCGCCGTATTCACAAACTGATCACCGTACATTGGCGTGGCCACAACTGGGACACCACAGTAGGCAGCCTCGGAGGTCCCCATTAGTCCACCATGTGACATGAAAACCTTTACGTTCGGATGACAGAGGATATCACGTTGCGGGAGCCACTTCATAATGTGCATATTAGGTGGCTTATTGGGCAGCGTTTCGTTCTCCCATTTCCATATAACCGTTTGCTTCAATCGAGCCACCGCCCTTACTATGCCATCCCTTTTTGCCGCCGACAGAGAATTCGCCCTGATCATGGATCCCCAACTGATCAGGATCACTCCTTCCTCGGCATTATCCAAAATACGCTGAAGATCGGCCGGTAGTGGTTTTGATTTCTGAATGTGTATTCCGCCCAGCTCGATAACATTGGGTGGCATTGGCTTGGGCCCTGACAGCGAATAGTGTTGGTTTACAAAGAACAAGGAGGTGTTCTTCACCAGCTCACCAACTGAAGGTGTATCGTGACCGAATTTGTATTGAACCAAAGCATCGGCAGCGGGTATAGATAGTAATCTGTTGGAATGATATAATAAATGTATAATAAATGGAATAAACAGAGTATAAGTATTTGCACTCACTTATACATCCAGTTTAAGGGCGTGGGTGCTAAACCAATTAGCCAGTCGTCCGCCAAAGTCCATGTCCTGCGACTGGGCCATGAAGAGCGCAGGGATATGCGAGGGTATCAAAGGAGCACCCATTCTCTCATAGTGCCAGGGCATCATCACACAGCTACTTAAAGCGATTACCGGGGCCTGGAGCTGATGAGCCACTCCCATCATGCAGTCCGTATTGAATTGCTCCATAATAATAACATCAAAACGTCCTGGACGCTTGAGGATCTGCTGCAGTGCTTCCGAACGTAGAGTGTGTTGTTGCAGGCCTGTTTGCCCCACTCGTGGAGCAGGAAGAATTCCAGGAAGTGATTGTAGAAAGTACGCTTCTCAAAAAACTAAAGGGCGTTAGAAAATAGTATTTCGTGAATAATTTGTATTCGACTCTTAAATAGTAATTAATTGATTTCCGTTTTTTTTGTTTGTTAAAAAAAGCAATTTAGACATTAACAATAGTTTGCTTTGCGTTAATATCTATGTGAATCCCCTTTTCACTCACCTTGAGATCCACACTGTTCGTGAGCTTTTCTATCCCGGTCAGGGGGAAATCCTTGTAACGGACAACCGGATGCTTGTCCGGGAAGTGGGAAACCACACTAACGTCATGACCCGCCTCAGCCAAACCCTTCATAATGGGATGGAAGAAGTGGAAGTGGCTAACTCCGGGATGGGGGAAGAGACCCAGTATCTTAAGCGGACCTCCGGCCTCCACGAACACATTCGGTTGGTTAAAGGCTAGGGTCAGGCAAAGCCAAGGCGAACAGTGGTGACCACATTGTACCCTTGAAAAGTAATATGATTTTGGATTAATATAACATGTTTTGCTAAAAACTTTGAATGTTAAATTGTGTTTTTTTTCGTTGAAGATTTGTTTTTATTTAATAACCAAAGCACGAGCGTAAGTTTAGGGTCGCAAAAGATTACTAAGCGCTTTATAAAAGTAATATAAAAGTATATATTGTAATTTCAAAAGGTGTGTAGGTCTGTTTATAAACTATCCCGTAGAAATTTAAACAAGTAATATAGAACATATGGGAATCCAATGTGTTACAAAAAATTATAAAAAAACACATTATTCCTGGCTTTGCACAAGTATCGTGTGCAGAGACACTTGTTGCCTGTCGGGTTTTCTTGGTTTTGCAGTATTTTCGTTCGACCTTGAGTGAGGCGGTGGGTGGCAATGCGCATGTCGCGAATGCGAGAAATGCAGGCAAATTATGTAAAGAATGCAGGCGAAAGCACTAAAAGGAAAACACTAGCACAACAAAAGCCACGGCAATTGCATCACAATCCGCGCTGCACTCGCTAACAAATTCACAATTATTGCCTCGTTGGAGGTCTTTCATCCGGAATTCAATTGAACCGCTGAACTGGATACACACACAAAAATATCCAAAACGCCGATTTGTCAGTTTCGAACTTAAATCCTGTTTTCATTTAGCCCCGACTCCTACTTACTTGTTCGACTGTCGACGAGCGACTGACTAAATTCAGAGAAATGCCGCCGAACGGAAAAGCTTTTCGGTCAACGCTCGCTGAAGAGCAGCGACCAATTTCACACAGACCCAAATTGCTCAGTCAGCGATCGGAAATCAATCTCTTTCTTCGGCGGTGTTGTAGGTATAGCTATTTTATGTTTAAACTGTGATAGTTTTTAGAAAACATGTAACATTTTAAAACTATGTTTTACAAAACTGTTTCAGCAAGACTTAAAAATAAGTAACGGTTACAATCTTTCGACTAAAATGTGTTAAATGGATTTCGACATGTTTATTAAGACTGAAAAAAGGTAAGCACCATCCAGCAATTTGAAATATATTCAACTTGTTATAATATATAATAAAATATACAGAAAAACTCGTTAATATTAAAAAAAGTTATAAAGATAAGTTATGTAAGTCCAAGCTATCTTTTGAATTTTTTAACTCTATATGATCCATCACTGTTCTTTCTCCGGAGCTTTCTTTGCCGACTCTCTCAAGAAATGCCCGAGGGTGCTACACAGAGAGAGGTTTTGAAATGGACAATGGGAGAGTGTAGAATACTTGCCCTTGTGCACGAGACCCCACTACCGGCAGTAGAAAGTCTACTGGGCAACAAAAACTCAGACGAGTCTGGCGATTGCTAATCAGTCAACGCTCACATGTGTTGGCCCAAGGCGTACTGGGTGTTTACATTGAATTGATACGGGCTTGTTTTTCGGCGATCTCTGAAACGAATACGGAAAGTACAAGTATTTGCGATCAAAATGACGTAGAATTTCTAGAAACTTTTAAATTTTTCCATGCTAAGCATGCGTGTCAATATATCTCTATCTAAAATATTTTACTAAGCTTATAAATTGATTTTTAGGTTTTAAAACGACACGTAAGGTTGTTTGATAATATTTCATTTTAGAAACTTATGTTTTAAAGAGTATTTAATATTCCAATACTACCAATATTCTGCTAACGACACTCTTGATTGATCTTATAATATAAATTAAAAAGTGAAAGCAGTTCTCAATATCAGTTTTGGTTTGTTGAACTTTTCGTTCACAGAAAGCTTTATGATGTAATTTTAATTATACAGTCAAATACGCTTAATTTATGCATAGACCACACAAATTTAAATGAATTATTTAATCGAAAATAAATGGCTTAGTTGACATATTAATGGGGCTGTTAATTAAAAGCCCAGAGGCTTAACACTGCTATTTATAGGAATAAGCTTTTTATAGAGTGTTTATTAATATAAATAAATAATAAATTGTATGAAAATCATCAATGAAAGTAGTTCTGTCTAAAGTTTATTGAACTGGGCATTTATTGTTTCTTTGCTTTAGTATCCCTAGATACTCCCTCCCGAACAAAAGCTGATCTGATTCTCCCAATGAGCTTCCAGAGGGCGACAACCAGCAGCCATACGAGTCCCAGACAGAACAGGTAAACATCGATCGAGTTGTAGACGATCCAGTTTATATGTCTGGCTTCACTTTGCACATGCGGGGCTCCCCGAGATTCGATCACATATTCGATCCACCAGATAGCCAATTCTAGAGGGGCAATGGGACGCTGGCGGAACGCTTCAGTGGATCGGCGAACTCTATCCGCAAACCTGTAAACAAATGAAATAAATGAAAAAAAGGTCTGAAGTTTAATATGAAAATCCTTCTTAAGAAATTCTTACTTGGTATCAAGAATAATTCGCAGTCCCCTGGTTATGTGATCCGTATCGAAATCACTGAAGTGAACAATAACTCCAAAGCCTTTTTGTTGTATGGCGCCGGAATTGAGAAACTGATCCCCGTAGAAAGGTGTCACCAGCATGGGAACTCCACAATGAACTGCCTCTGTGGTGCCCAAAAGTCCACCATGTGAAATGAAAGCCTTGACCTTCGGATGGCACAATAAATCCCTTTGGGGCAACCAGTCGAAGGTGTATAGATTAGGGGGTTTATCATTTTCCCCAGACTTGTCACCTTTCCAGCGCATTACAAAGTTGTATTTCTTCAGCTGAGAAATGCTCTGGAAAAGCGCTCTTCGTTTGGCTAAAGGTAGGGTATTGGTGTTCACCATGGATCCCCAGCTGATGTAGATGATTCCATTGGGAGATCGATCCAAAACATCTATCAGTTGCTGAAACGAGATTTAAGAAACACGTTTTTATGGCTGATCTAAAAAACTAGCTCAAGGCCACTAGAGAAAATTCTGAGAAAAACGTTAAAGTGCCGTTGTTTATTTCGGGATAGCTGTCCTAAGGTCTAAAAATATTTTCGAACATTTTGCCAGCACGCGATTGTTTAACAACAACGCGTGCTTTAAAATGTTGACCTAAATAGTAAAACGAGAAAAATTTGCCAATCTCATTTAAATGCCTTTCCTCTGTATATAACCAAAACAACATTTTGTTTTTGTTTTTAAATTCACAGCGATTAATGGATTTTTATTTGTTAATCTGCAAAAAAACAAAGGGGCACGACAAATGGAAGTGAATTAATTAATTTTTAATATTTTAGATGCACATATTTATATTTATAAAATCCGAAAAATATCATAACGAGTTATCTGTATTTGTTTTAGGATTTCGAACGCCTGCGATTATTTGATAAAGAGTTTTGGTGACCTACAGACTGGCGGTATTCAAGATTGTTAAGCACAAATTAAGCTTCTTGGTTAATTTCTATTTAAGCAAATCATTTCTTAAGGGAATTAATTGTGACTAAAAAACAACTCACATTTGGTAGAGGCTTAAGAGGTCCCACTTGCAGCCCGCCCACCTCAACAACATTTGGAGCATATGGGCGTGGACCGGTTAGGGCATAATACTGATTAATCAGCATGAGACTCGCGTTCTTAACAATTTCATTGATGGGTGGCAGTCCGGGTCCGAATCTCTCACTGATTAACGCATCGGTGGCTGGCTGGGTAATCCAACTTGTCAAGGAAAAATCGAAGCAGATAAGACCAAATTCTGAAGGTCAGAAAAATGAATACCCACTTGTAGAGAGTATTGACGGTGTGGAAATGAAAGAAATTATTCAGTCGATCGATCAGAGTCATTTCATCTGTGTAGGGCAGGAAATTCATGGGCATGATGGGGTTAATGAAGGGACTGCCCATTCGTTTGTAGTGCCATGGCATTATCGCACAGCTACTCAAGGGCGATAACAGGGGCTCCTAGCAGGTGAGCCACCGCTGCCATGCAGTCGTTGGAGAAATTCTCCAGGATTATGACATCGTATCGGATGGGGGATTCCAGTAGCTGGGCAATGAGGGGAGAATTTAAGGCCACCTTACAGGATCGTTGGCCCCAATCGTTAAGCATAAAATAGGTGGGTATCTTAAAGGGCAGTCCCAGGGGCTTCCATTCCGCTTCAAAATTCTAAAAATCAAAATTTAAAACATCAAAAATAAATGAAATCTGTACACCTTGAAATTTCTTTTAGCTTACTTTTAGGTCAACAATATCTGTGAGCAGTGGCATTCCTTTAAACACATAATCCGTATAGTTGGCCTTTGGTTTTTCCAGTGGAAAGTAGCTGTACATGCTGATGTTGTGTCCCCTTTCGGCCAAGGCCAAAAGCATTGGTCTGAAGAAGTCAAAGTGACTCTTGCCGGGATGCTGAAACAGGCCCAGTATCTGAGCCGTTTCATTGGGTTCTGGCCTTAAGAAAAAGGTCAACAAGAACACAGGTAGCAGCAGCATTGCAAGCTATTTAATATCCACAAAAAAAAAATAAATCTTATTAACCTCAATGCAGTTCTTAATACCTTAATATCTTTACTACGAATACAATGTGCAATGGAATCCGATGCGGGGTCTGCAGAAAAGATCAAAGTTAACTCTGGGGAAACAAAAGGTTGCTATTGCATTTTGGTGTTTCAGATACTTTTCTATCTGCAACGCCGTTTGACTGAATTTGCAACTGAAACGTTTTTGTATCTAAGAGTGTGCTTAGATCGTGACCGGAGTCCAACTAGCAATTGTCTTTTGGCCAGACCTTTAAGCGACAGATTTCTCAAGCGTTTCGTACAAAGTTGCGACCATTAAGAGGTGTCCGCCCAATTATTTAATTATAGGCTTTGTCGGGAAACTTAATTTAGGCTTTTTTTTAGCATATCAGTTTTGATTAGTTGCTGTTGACTTCATTTGATTGAAGGCGTTTAAGCTATTATCTATGCTTTGTTTTTTTTTAGAACGGATTTACTTGAGTGGGTTTATGATTTTAATCGTTTTTTGGTAATTTTCTTGTAATTTTTCTTGTATTTCGTTCACAATTTTCATTTTGTTGGCTTTTATTTCTTGATGAAAAGTTTATTAAAAGCATTTTTTGTTAGTTTAATTATAGTGGCTATCCTGAAACTTATATTTTATAAAGCCCACCTCCAGACTTCCTATAAAAGTGTTCAATGCAACTTGTCACAGCCACGATCCGCGATCAACTGAAAGCCAAGGCAATAGCGACTCACAGTTAACTTGGCTAACAGCAATTGCCATGAGTGGCAAACTGCCCTGTTGCATTTTCCTACTTCTAGCCGAGAGACAGAGTTTTCCGATAGATACGCTTAACCCAAAGAATCAAGCACATACTACCCGCAAGTCATGAGCAATTTGCGGTGGGCCATTAGATTGCCAAATCAAGAGGGCATATATGAGGCGGGTAGGGGGATTCGAGTACACCTTTAGAGGGCCGACAGAATATGCAGATTATATAATCGAAATAGCAAGTGCAATGACTGAAGGGGATTTTATTTCAGGCAATACGTTTTAATTGGAAACACAATGGAACAAGCCCAACAGATTTATTACGTGATTATGGATGAGTAATGGTTAGCTTAACGAGTATACAGTTACTACACATATATACCGGTTTTAAATCTCCATATTCTCACCTAGGTTAATCCGTGATTTAAATAATTAATTTATTTTATTATTCATATATATATGTTTGCGAATGAAGAATTTCCAATTAAACAAAATATTTCTTATTTTTTAGCATTAAATTATTTATTCCAATTTTTAAAATAACTTCATTTAATATAAAACATATCTCACTAAAAATGAAGTTCATGGCAATTATCTTGCACTTAAATTCTACATTTTCCTTACGTGTTTGTAAAATTACCTGAAATGAAGATCGGTAAACTTTTGCTTTGCATACTTTCAGGCGTCCCATTTACACTGCAGGTGGAAATATTAGTCATACTTCTACATTATTTTTTATTGAATCTTTTGAAATTATTTTGATATAAATCTTTTTTCATATTAATTTAAATTTTAAGAAACTTTCAGCTCATAAAAACATACTTTGCTGACAATCTTTGAACTACGGCAGTCATCAGAGATTCGACATGCTCTGATTTCTCCGGACTTTGCTGTTCTCACTTCGAGTTTACTAATTAAAATTCACTTTGACAATAACCGTAATTCCCGAGATACTAATTTCAAAATGTTGCACCATATAAAATATCTTCTAAATGCCCTCGGCTCAACTTTCGTTTGAAGGAAGGTCGTTAAAATTTAGGGAAAATAATAAGCAAAAATTTTCACGTCTCGCCTAATTAGCGCAGCAGTCACAACAAAAACAAATCCAGCTACTGGACGCTGTCAACAGCTGTACGGGGGGGTGGAAAATCGGAAGGGGGTGGGTTTTTCCCAAGGAAGTGTTCCGTTTTAATATTTGCGTCACGTCATTAAAAGTGTGACTTAATTGTGAGCGTTTCACAAGTGAAAAGTTAAAATTTACGACAGATTATCAAATCAAGCGCGAATGGAAGAGGAAAACTCGAGACGTTCCAAATTTTTCCGGACAGCATCCGCAGCTGTTTCCACTCTCTAACCAATTTTACTCAAGGTGTTGCCAAATAGAATCGATAAGAATCAGGGGAGCGGGTGAGAAAATCGTACTTGAAAAACTCCTTGCTGAAAGAGAATTTTCCTGGTATCAATTTATTTTAACGTTCAGACATTTAAGCTTTTGACTTTTCCCCTTTTCCCACTCTCTAAACTGGTAATTTATTTTGTGCTGGCAATAAAATGGAATTTAAAATGATAGGAAATCTTATTGAAAATTCACAGATAAGCTTGAAAAAGGGTTGTCCATAGGGGCGGCGCGTGTCCGTTTGTGGGCGTGGGCATGTGGCATTTTCCAGTCATTTACATTTAATAGAAGCGCATGAAAAGATAAGCGTGTGTGTAGTGTGTGTGAAATTTATAACAAATCAATAAAATGACAATAGGTGCAAACTTTATCGACACGCCACTGCGAAAATGGGGCGGGGCATGAAAGGGGAATTTTCCTGCGAGCGTCGTTCTATTCACACTGTCTGAAAATTAAACTCCAGGGTAGGTGGTTAGAAAGGTGGCTGAAAATCTAAAGGAAAGTTTTCGATAAACAATTTTTCGCACGGAAGTGCAATTTAAATTGAAGTATCCATATAACCGTGTCCGTTTTTCTTTGCAAATGCGGAAATTATACAGAGAAAGTTTCTAATACATTTGTTACCGCCAATCAACCGCTATGTCCTCTTTCTTCAGGAGAAAGAGGTTTGAGAATTGGGGTTTGTCTGGGCTTTCAAGGAAAAACTTTCCCGCCAGATAGCTGAAAAGAAAATTTAGGTAAAGTAAAGTTGGTATTAAAGTTAAAAAGTCACTTTAAATATTTGTTGGGACTGATTTTGGGCAATCACGTGTTTGTGGTGTCCAAAGCTTTTGTGTTGTTTAAAATGGGAACAGTAATCAAAGTACTATTTAAAGAAATGTAAATCATCGCCATCTTATCACCATTTTAAATGCCTTTAATCAAATATCTTATCAGATTATCGTTATCAAATGGTGCTAACACTAATCGACTGCTTAATCCAATAACCATATCAATGAAAAGTATCTTACAAGCTCACGCACAAATCGAAGGCGTGAACATTGCGTGCGTGCTTGTCGTCTCATCACCTTAAGTTTCAAGACTTTTCCTTCAGAAGTTTTTCCCCTTACCAAGTTGTCCAGTGATTTTCCTTACCTTACCCATCACTTACTTACAGGTGTCTTTAATTGACAGGCCAAACTATTTATTGCCATGTCACGTGATCTATAAAGTTGACGCCAACCGAAGACAGCCCCCTCTGAGTTTCCTTTTACCTCCACAATTTCACCTGTGATTTAAGCCGCTTACTAAGACATTTTCGAGTAAGTCGCGTCTTCGTGCTTTTTCGAATAAATCGATTAACAAACAAAGTTGTAGCAGCCGCCATGCCCCACGGAATATGTGTGTTGTAGCTATTTCCGTGACAGTAATCAATTTATTTTTGGCAGTGCGCCGATTGCGTTTCCGCTCCAAGAACATGGACGAACCTGAAGTCTGATCCCCTGCAATTTTCCCACCTCTCCTCTCTGGCTTTTCCGAAATCTCTCCCCTTTTCCGCTTGCGAAAACTCTCTCTTGTCTGCTTCGGAAAACGTTTCATTTCGTTTCGGCTTTTGGCACAGCGATTTCCGCACAAATGTCGATAAATCATCAGAACGAAATAGTCAGAGGAATAACCAGGGAAAGAGGGGTGCACAGGGAAAATTCTTTTAATATTTTAGAAATTTTTCTTTAAATAATAATAATAAAATATGTGCACCACAAAAGTTGAAATTAAATAATATGATGGAAATATAATAATTTTGCAAGCCTAATAAGATTTTTCTTTTAAGTACTTGTAAGTCGGAAACTTTTTATAAAAACTTTATAAACCTTAAGTTTAGTATTAAAAAATATATCTAATATCAATTTTTATATATTTACTCAACATATTTTCTCTCTGTTGAATGAATGAAAAGAGGTGTGTGGCACCTTTCTGGCTGTTGGCGTGATAGATAAGTTGACAGCCGCATTGAAGGGTTATCGTGGCTGTCTCTTAATCAATCTTCTTCCATTGCCGTCTTCATCTTCTTGGCAATTAATTAATTTGCAACAAAGCTCAGGGCACGTGACCAGGGCATGGCATATTAAAGGAACTTTCAAATCGTATCGTGCTATTAGTTACTTACTTTCTTTAAAAATATGGAGGATGCAAGAGAGCCAAGATTGCTGTCCATTTTGACGCAACGGGAAGTCCTTTTAGGGTCAAGTGCTGGAATTGATGTTTCGTTTATGATTTATCGTCACTTACTGCCGCGTCATGGGCAACCATCCTCCAACTCCCCTGTTCCATAGCCCCTCCCCCTGCTAATGGTCGACATATTGCAAAAACAGAAACAAAAACTAAATTAGACATAATAGCTGACTCGAGGGGGTGGCAAATAGGTCGTTTCAGATAAGTCGTCATGCTGTCATAATCATCACAAGACAGCATCCATCCATCGCCCATTTTGCAACGCCCCCAAGTAACCCTCTGACCCCTCGAACTCCCTTCTCCCTCTGTCTGCAATTTACTGATGTAATAACCATGTTTTCAGCTTGTAATGCGGCAGGGCCACAAACACATATATTTTTTGGCGGGGGTGGAAGTCAAGTTCCCAAGGAACAGGCTGGTGGGTGAAGTAAGAAGGGGGTTGAGCGGGGGGCTCAAGGGTCGAGGGTTGCCTTTTGTTCTCGGTGCTACTTTTGAATTGTTTTTGAAGTTAAATGTGTGATAATTTAATGACTGTCGACGCATCGCTCACAAGGACACACATTCAAGCAGTCTCTGGAAAACCACCCACCACTCCCTCAGTTATATAACTCAATCCTCGGCAAGCGTTTAATTTAGTGGAATAATAAAAATGCTTTTGGGGCATAAAAATCTGTGGCTGGCGATGATTTGTGCACTTTCGATGTAACAGATTGTCTTTTAATGCCTTCGATTCAGCCGACTGTGGTACAGAAAAATCTGTGATCTCACAGGGTGGGAATTATGAAATGTGGATTTGTAGGTTTTCAGCCTGGCAACATCGTCTTCGCTTATAATAACTATTTTCCAGCTTATCTGGTTTGCGGCCAGTCAGCTGATCCACTCAACTTAGGTTATATATATATATATTTATTTGATCTGAAACACGTTCGTTGTTTACGTTTACGTTTACATTAGCATACCAGTCCAGTTTTTTGCATACATTACTTGATCAAAACTTAGACATATTTTCATTTAGTTGGAGGGACAGGTGGGCCTTTAGTTCTTTCAATGGAATGAGGCACCTCTATATACTAATTAAGTCAGTTTGAGTAAGTCTTTGGATATTTCCATTTTTGACCAAACACGTGCATAGTTTAGACAGTACTTAACAGGCATGTGGAATTTCGGGGATATCCGATTTGATATCCGGTTGGGGAAATACAAAAATTTTAGATTTGTTTAAGCTAAAAAAAAATGAGTCATAAAATTTGGAATATTATATTTAACGATTATAAATGATTACACATATAGAGTAGTGCTGACCTAATGACAGAAATAAAGAATTCCTGTTTTTGTAAATAGTTCAAGTTCATCGACTAAACAACTTTCGCTATGTTGTTTCGCAAAATGATCAATTTTCTTTAGAATGATTTACAGCTGTGATTCGCGTATTATCCCTGTCTTTTTTCCATCATACGGCACACCTGGAGCGCCTTAAAAGAAAACCTGCGAAAGCCAACGAAGATTTATGCAAATCCCGGCGAGCGAATGTTAAAACGTTAAAGCTTTTGATTCGGCGCTAATGTAAAAATATGGCGACTGTGTGGAAAAAAACCGAATATCAAATGTGCAAAAATCGCAAAGCCACATTTGCATATGACAAAGTGAGGCAGACAGCCGCAAACAATGAAAAATGACGGCGACGAATGCTCGCAGGCTTAGTTGGGGATAATTTAATTTGGCAAAATAAAAAAAAAAAAAAAAATTGCAATAAATAAATTCACCCCCGACCCCAGCACGTGACTGCTGCGATTTATGAAACTCAATTAATTTGTGGAAATTTTTATAAATGAATTTATTGCATTTATGTATTGTGACAAATAATCGCCATTATAGTGATATTTTTCCTCCTCCTTTTGCGGTCTCTCCAGTGGCGGAGGGAAAATTCCCATCCGTTTTCCTAGCAGAAATGCAGGTTATTGAAACTGCTCCCGATTGTTGGTGACCATCTGGTTGTATTTGAAGGCCGCCGATTTTTGGGTGCTGCTCTGAACCGTAAGTCTTGTATTCCGTAGGAAACTATCCGCCGGACTGCTGGATACGGCGTATTTTCCGCCCAGACCCTCCACGGTCCTCATGGGACTCAGGTGCTTGGCTGGGATGGCCTTGCTGGGTGTGCGAGTTTGGTGAACCATTTTCAAGGATTTCTTTCAAGTTTCAACAGGAGCTAAGGTGAGCTTAGATGATTTGGTGGGATTCAGGGCACACTGGAGAGACGCGTCAGCACGGAGAATTCCAGACAATTACCGCAGTTACTAGTGCGAGAGCCGCCTTTCTTGGAAGACAGATGTTTAGATAGACTGGAAATGGAAAGGATTTTACACATTAGTAAAATGTAAGAAAAACATAGATTTTATAGGAACATAGTGAGGAAGTTTTGTTTATAAAAATAGACTTATTTCGAAAATTTATTCTCCCTCACCTTATATTATTCAGCAGCTTGGCTTTGGTGTCCGGTGTCTTCATTGACACATTTGTTTATAACCGTTGGGGAAAATAGTTTTTGAAAAATCACTGATTAGGTATCGACTGCTAGGCCTTCACACTTTGGTCTGTTGGATTTCGATCTGATAGAGTCGCTTTTATATCAAAAAGCTCCCTAGACTAAGTTGATCTCATCACGCGCTGGGAGCGTGCTAAAGTAAACTAGTTTTTTTCGGGGGCTCTGATGCAAAATTGGAGGCGCAGACTTGTGCCAAATTTCTTGTTTACGCCACCGAATGGCACGTCAATGGAAAAGCAAGTTTGCCACGCGGTCCTCCATTTATGGCCCAAAACGGTAAACATCTTAGTCAAAGAGTAAACAAACCCAAACAAACAAACAAATAAATAAATTTCGAAGGGGAATTTTTTGGTCAAGAGTTTCAGGTTTAGTTTCCATCAAGGATCTGTTGAGCATGCTAATCGAGGGCATCAGTCAAAGTGTTTCATTTTTAAAATTCACCACTTTATATAGACTTTTCAAATCGAATTTTTAGTTCAACCTGTCTCGGATAATATAATATTTACTTTCTTTGTTCACTGTCTGGGCCACGTTTTTTAATTATTGAACCATGTGCCTGTCTGGCTCATTTGCATAATGCAGTCTTAATATTTGGCAGACATATAAATTGGCTTTATAACACAAAAGTTAAATGCAGATTTTGACATTTAAATCGCCGGCTTAGACGTTCAAAGTACAATATTGAATGTGATATTTTTCTAAATTGTTGAAACGAGTTTTTGGGGATTACCAGAACGAGAAAGGCATGGAAGGTAGGGGGGTGTCCTGGATGTCATTAAACCTATTAACTTGTTTTCTTTTGATTTTTTACTATTTAGTATTGACCAGATTATTAACTGAAGATGTCTGAAAAGTAATCCTATCATGTCTAACTAGATTTTGGAGGATTCAAATTATATATACAATTATTTAAGCCGATTTGGGGAATCCTAAATATAATTGAACTCATTAAAAAAGCACCAGTATAATAAGAAGTTCTGTTTGAACTCATTAAAAAAGCACCAGTATAATAAGAAGTTCTGTTTTTTTAGATAAGTCTTTTAGTTAGAGATATACAGATTTTCCGTCTCCTTTTTTCTGGATTTCTGATAAATTTATATATCTATAAACAACAGATTAAAATACTATAAACCGGCAACAGGCTTTCGTGTTGTTTTCTTGATCGAATTGGCTGATGCAATGCAACCAAGACTTTTCATCAGAAATCGGTTCATGCATAATTCGCTATATCAATAGCGATCGGGTGATATTCGTAGTCATTATAGATTCATATAGATAACATTGCTATGTTAGCAGAAAGCCTGGTTTTTAAAAAACATCTGTGACTTTGGAAAAAGTCTAACTTTTTGAAATTTTTGGTGACGTGTCAAGAAACAGCCGGCCGGCAACTCTAAACATTATACGACGAATCGAATCATAATTTGTATGTTTGTGGAGAGGAGACAAAGGAAAATACTACGTGATACGCAGCAGGTTCGGTTGGGGTGGTTTTGATACCCTTTAGCTATGAGGATTTTCTGGGTTAGGTGGTGAAAACTTAAATTTAAAAAACTAATTATTTAAGTTTTTTGTTCAAATAGTTAACTTTAGTTTTGTTTTTATGATTATCTTCCAATCTCACAGAGTGAACTAACTTTACTTTGTTTGGCCTCTTTGCAATGTATGACTTATTTATTTATAATGAAAGTTTTTCTCTTTGAAAGGGTATTGGAGAGTCGACTTTTTGCAACTCAGTGGAATTGTTTGCAAAGGTTTTGCTGATAAAACCAGTTGCTGTATAGCTCTAATTTGCATTGTCGTCTGCTGGAACGGGTTAGCCTCAGACGGAGACCGAGTTTGAGGTCGACAGAGGGTGAAGTGGTGCAGGGGCGGTGCGAGGGAGGTTTCTGGCGGGTTTGGTAGTGCTGCCAGCCTGCAGCTGGCACTCTGATACTAACGTTATTTACTCGTAGAACGGTGACGGAACGGCAGTTCCTCAGCCAGACATTGCACTCGGATCGGATCAGATCGGAACGGTTTTGATCGGCGTATTTAAACCAGTTGTGGTAGGCGCTGGAGGGTCAGTAGAAAGTCCAGAGCAGAGCAGATCGGTACTGAGCTGTCCGGAGCGTGAGCTTTAAAATTTCCTTTCTTTCCTATCCAATGTGCAATTTGCAAAAGATTTGTGTCAATGCCAAAAATTAGCCACACGGATCCTAAACAAAAACTGTTGAAGCAAGCAAGGTGGGTAAAAAAGAAAATATTCGAAATTTTGAAACCTTTTTCAAGGGATATAAAGACTTTTCTGTCAAGTTGTTGATGTTTCATTAATCCTTAACCTTATTTATTTATTCCTTTTAGATTGGGTAAACATCTATCGTCGAAAAAAGGATCTCGCACTGGGAACTCGGCCAACAACAAGGAACTTAAAGTACTTACCCTATTGCAAAGTGTACCGTGAATCTTGACTTCTCTACAAACGCATTGGAAGCGCAGCTTTGTGTAATCGGCAGAACATTTCACTTATTCAAAAATAAAATCCGAAGGGAAATCCGAAGACAAAATGGTCTACACCGAACGTACTGACAAGTGCCTGAGCAGCACCAACAAGGACAACCAATCCAAGGGTCAGAACCAGTCCAAGTCCAACAGTGGATCAGGATCAGGTTCAGGATCAGGATCAGGATCTTGGAGCAGTCAAGCCTCGAGTGCTGAAAAGTGGAAGTACAACAACATGGTGAAAAACGATCGCCAGCAGTTCAATGGCATGCATTTCTCCTAAATTTGAGGAAAATGTCACCCTAAAAGAAAGGAGAACACCAAGAAGGGGATTAGCGGGGTAGCTGATTGTTGTTGTTATTTTCATTTGGTTAAGCAGGGTTCGATATAGATTAGTTTTGTAAGCTAAGACTTAGGTATTGCTGTGTGATACAAAATATGAAAGAATTAATAATCCAATTGGTTGAAAAATTATATCAGAAAAAGATGCGCAAAAGATGAACTCATTATTATTTGAGGTGTGTGAGTGGTTTTAAAGCTATCAATTACAGAAATTGACAAAACATTTCCAAGATCTCGGAAAGTAAGTGATATATCCAAAAAGTCCATAAACTTGAAATTTAAAGCCTGTTTCTTAGTCACCCCCCACCTCCAATTACCTATCAATATCCCTTGCCATTTGACCTTGCTACTTGACTTAACTTGACTTGACTTGACTGATAACCAACGCATATTTTATTGTCTGCAGCATTTGCATGAATTGCGGCTATTAGCGTGATTAAGCCAACTTCTGGCTTGGGCCAAGGACAACCCTCGATGAATCCGGACGGAGTGCACTTAATACGCATTAGCTACGCTTATTTGACAGCCTCAATCTGCCGAGCGATTCCTGCAATATTGATGATGTCTGGCCATCCCCTTTTGCCTTTCATTTTCCTTTTCCCCCGCACTTTTCCGGCGACGCGTGTCCTTTTCCCGAAAACAAGTGTATCTCCCAGTGGCAGCCGCAAAAGGACGACGTCCGGTTTTCGTTACGAGGATTCGTTCGACTGTATTTTTGGAGAGTGCCAAATTTTTATAATATTTCAATTGAATTGTTTGCCCGAATCGGGAAGCGGGTGTGAGAAGGATGCTGCGGTTGTCCTTTGGCCGTGCCACACGACTGAGCAGGGAACTCGAGCTTCCCAGGACACGTGGCACATGGCTATTAGGAAAAGCGATTTCTTTGACGGTGCTAATAGAATTCTCGCACTCTCCGTAAATCTCATCCCTGCGTTAAAGAATAAATGTTGTGGCGTTTTCGGGTTTTCTTTTTTTCCCGGGTGGCAGCTGTCAATGTCCTTTACACCAAAAAATAAATCCTATTTAAAGACTAAGTTTTAAAAATAAAAACCATTTTCTATATTCTAAATTTCTACCTCTAGCTAACTACCCTTGAACTTTCTTAACTAAAATCAATCATTTCAAACTATTTTCTCTAAGTGTAACTCATCTAGTTGAACTCTGGAACCCACCCACTCTACCCATCTCTTTAGGCTTCTGTCTGTACTGGGCCTTGTAATTACTTTGTTTCCTAGCGCCAGGAGGTCCTCAGCACCCAAAAGATTCCTTGTCACTTTTGGTGTTGTGCGATGCAATTAAAACCGCTCCGCAGGTGTCCTTTGAACTTTGCCACGAATATAAACAGTGTCTCAGCGTTTGCTCGTTGGTGCGGAATGTGTCAGTTGCAAGGCTTCCTAAACGGGACAACGTTCTCTGATTTATCAGACAGAAGCAATTATCACGTCATTATCAAGGAAAGCCCACAAAACTGATGGTACTTTGATTTTTGTTTTAGTAATTGGAAGCGTGTAGAGATTCTGTGTAATATTTTCTAGAAATGTATAAAGGCACGTGCCTAGCCCAATCCAACTCCCTTCCCTGCAGAAACATATTATGGTGGTCAAGATATATCAGCAACTGCAAACTGATTTCCGCTGAAAGACAACCCTCAACTTAGATCTCCTAACTCCAGTCCTTACCCCGATAGCATATGTCACAATGGCACGTTGGAAAATTATGAATAATATCCGTAACTTCTGCCGAGACACATTCTCATTCTAAAACGCCGTGAAATATTTCCGAGCAGCTTGCGTTGAATAAGTGGAAAAGGGCGGCCATGCCCACACTTCAACTCAATCCCAGCCAACGCCTCTGAATTTTCGAACTCTGCCAAACTGCCGAGTAAATTTGTTTTGGGGCGTGCCGTCAGATACAACTTCCGATGACATCCGACAGATGTTTTGCAGCCAACAGGATAACCAGCGGATTGCCGGGTTCGAAGTACTTTGCACAGGAGTTGCGCCCGCTTGCAAAACAATTGTCGGCACATTTCCCGTCGCGGATGTCGCCGCCAGCAGCATGTACAAAGTCGAATCAGATGCGAATTACATTTGAATGTAGGTACTCGATGATAATGTACGGGCGTTGACATCTCGGCAAAGGTGTTTTGGCTTCCTGTTTGGCGCATGACAATGTCATTGCCACATGGCGGACACACACGACTCTAATTCGGTGGCAAGGTGTGACGTACATATCTGAAATTGATTGTCGGTAGGAAGGGGAATCTATGAGATTTAACATGATATTCGATCATATTCAGCTGGTTCAAAATGTGGGCAGATACAAAGTGGATAAGTGAATTATGAAAAGGAAACATTACCGCCTTAAAGATGGTTTGTATATTCTTACGACTTAAAGTTTATTTTTTACTAAAGTTGATATTTTAAATTTGATATCATACACATCTCTAAACCCAACTCAAGTTAATTAGTTTCCCATCTAGTTCTTTCTTTCATTTTACCCCTTCAATTCCACTCCCATCAAACTAGATTTACTTCTGTCAATTGTAAACATCTCTGCCAATCCATGGATTTGCATATATCACATCATATACCATATACTATGATATATCATATCGCATAATCTCTAATAAAGTTATGCAAATGGCCCAATCAAATACAGATTCTCCGAGGAGAGTGTAATTTACAAAATATGGCAAACATTCGCCCAGACAAAAGGTGGCAATTACACAAAAATAAAACCATGAACTCAATTCGATTGCAGAGGGAATATTTCCGAGTTCTGAATCAAAAGCAACCACCTCGTTGCCCCCTCGTTTTTTTCCCATTGTTGCGGATATATATATATATTTTTCAGCCGCCATTTCTGATCGACAGCTGTCATGAATGACAATTGGATTGCAGCAACAGAAATTGTAAAGTTGCTGCCTCTGTTCCAGTGCTGCATGGAATTCGGATTCTTATAAAATATGCAATAAAAATATGAGACCCCATAATGATTGCCAGTATTTATAGATTTCGAGCATTTCTGCGGCTGCTGTTGCGGCGAGGTCATCAAAACGAAAACAACGAAATCGACATGGAAATTGAAACAATGGCGAGTAGCTATCGATGCCCCAGGGGCGTAGAGGCCATGGATATTGGGACTTTTGCCTTGTGGATGGGGTTCAACTGTGGAGTGGTGTGGAGTGGAGTGCTTCGAAATGAACAGAATTGAACCAAAGTGAAGTGTTCTCGAGTAAAACGCAGAGATGCGGTTGCTTTTTTGTGGTTCGTCGCGGGAAAATTTAAGAGTGGGTAGAAAGAGATTCGTATTTGAGCGTTGGGATAAAAATTTAATTAAATATTCATTTTTATATAATTAATGTCATAATGTCATTAATATTAGTATATTAATTATTATTTATTAGCTTAGCAGCACCCCTTGGAATCAGAAAGATTAAGAATAATGAAAATGTTTTATTTCATTATTTTTACACTACATTTTTGTAAGGAGTTAAGTGAGATTATAATTTAACAATGTGTAATTTCAAGTTACAGATAAAGTAAATCCATAAATCTCTTTTAATTTCTTATAGGTAATACCTATAGCCTCCCTGGCTTAACCTCCTTCGCCAAGTGCTGCCCTTCAAGGACCATATTTAGCATGTTTTCGTACGCACAACCACATGTGGGAAAGGCCAAGGGAGAGAGGGGTTTGAGAGCAGAGTGCAAAACCTTTAAATGCAATTATGGCCTGTGGCTCATGTGAGCTCAAGTGCGGAGAGGTCGTCACAAAACGCCAATGATATGCTCTCGAGTGTCTTTTGTTGTGGCTTAAATACATAAGCAGGGCAACTCCCTCTTTTTAAGCCCCTCACACCACCACCACCCCCCTACAAACACCCCTTTTACACTAGTTTCCTCCTGTTTTTACAGCCTGCTTTAGGTTGAGCGCGCCAAAAATGTTGTGGCTGAGCTTTCCATTCGCTAATCATGGGGTGGTGCAGATGGATGATATATGTATAGGTTTTTTCTGTGTGAGTGAGTATCTGTGTGTGTGTGGTGGTGTATGTGTAAGTGTATGTGGCATATGCAACGCTCCACAATCGCATCATTTTGAGCAATTAAGTGTGTATTATCCGTCGCTGCGTCTCTGTCAAAGGGCCTTGAAAGCAACTTCAAAAACCGAATCCAGTCGCGGCATAGCAGTTGCTCCTGTTCCTGTTCCGCCACCGGAAGTACATTGAATGTGCCAGTGTGTGTATCGGTATATGATGTGCACTGCAATATAATAAAAGTTCCTAATATCTTTGGTCTTTTTATTCTATTTAAAAGAGTCTTTAAATATGTTTAATATGTAAGAACATCGATTTAGCTGATTTTGTGTTGCAGTAATTTCTTACAGTGTACCTCTACTTTCCTCCCTCTCTGCCCAATCCGCGCTTTTCATGCGCAAATTGTGCATTTAAGTCGACAATGGCGAGCCAACAAAGGCAACGGAATGGGATGTGGAGTACTCGTTATATGGGATATAGAATATACGACATAGGATATAGGATATGTGGTGTTCTCCTGCTTGTGATGCAGCTCACCGTTGCAGGGTCCTTATTGTGATGCTTACTTTTACTTTTGTTCGGTCTGCAACTAACTGAAGGCGGTCGGGAGGCGTTTTGCTGTCAAGTCTACGAGCTGGGAACTCCCTCCGGTGGTTGGTAGGGAGCCCTTCTTTCTCTCTGGTTTCCAGCAATTTCATGGAACTTGGAGATATTTATATTTGATTTCAGTAAACGAAATATAGTTTTTCATATTATCCATCACAGTCCTTTTCAGCTTTTCAGCTTTTTCCTCAATCCCAGTTTTATTACAGTTGTCTAACATGAAACTTTTCTTCTTTTTCCCTCTCACTCCATGAAACATTTTTCATTCGCTTTATTGCCCTCTTGGGCTGTCACAAACAAGTGTGGCCAACTTCAGGCCACGCCCATATCAGGCCACACACACTCCCCCCTTGGCCGTGTTTTCCTTGGCAATGTCTCATGGCCACGCTGGCCGGCCAATTTAAAATTCAATTTAATTTCAATTGATATTGGAAAATCTTTCAGCACCTTCTCCCTCCTCTTTTTCCCCAAACTGAAAAACCTATCCACACGCAGCGGGGAAGCCCCATTAACAGTTTCTCGAGTTCTTGGTTTCCTCAGTGGGAAAAGCTCGCTCGGACTGTCGACATTGCGGTTGCCATTTCAGCGACAAAAGGTGAGAAACCAAAAGCAATTACATCACAGATTTCAGTTCTTTTCTCGAGAAACTTTGTTGATAATTGGAACGGGGCTTCTTCTGGTCGAGTGGCAGCAAGGACCCAGACAGAAACCAAAGTGGGTGGCTGGAGCCATAAATTATGCACAGGGCACGAAAGACAGCAACCTGAATGGCAACAATAACAATCTCCGGGAAAGTGCTCAGCCATCATAACCCAACCCTCACTAATTGCCCCAAGGTTGGTCCTCAAAATTTCCCAGGCAGCAGCAGATTGTTTTCCTAGCAACGCCGTCATTGCCTCGGGCTGTGAAAGATTTGGTACACGTTTCGGTCATCTCATAAATAAAGGCAAAATTTCATTAAGACAAATTATTGTCTATCAATATGTTGCCACAGAACATGAACAGAATGGGCAGGACATTGCTCATTTGCCAAGCAAACTCCCCGACTCCCCGACCAGTTTGTATTTGTATGTTTACATAATAATATTTGCGGCTCATAATTGCATAAATTTTTAAAGCGAAACGCGTTTCAGGCTTGTGCAACCTGCAATCCCTCATTGTTCTGACCCCTGATCCCGTTTCCCATATTCGGTTTGGAGTGGTTTGGTTTGGTTTGGTTTGCCGTACTCTTTACAAAGGGTATGTCGCTGGTTTAATAAATTTAGGTAAATATTTTAATTACTCACTAAAAATATGATAAAATATTTGAAATTTGATTTTAATAAGCAAATTATGATGTTATTGTAAAGGATAATTTATTGTTAAGTTAGCCGGATATTTTTAAAATTTCTATATCAATATAATAAAATATATTAAAAATAAATATATTAATCTAATATAAACCTCTCAAAGAGTATTCCCTTCATAAACCATTATAGACTCTCCACTTGTTTTGCTTGGTTTTGGGTTAAATACGTAGAAATTAAATTAAATATGCCCGCGGTTAAATGTCGTTGCAGGTTGCCCTTCCACAAACACAAAAGGGATTCGAACTAGGCCTAGGCTTTAAATCCAATTATGATGATAACCAGGGGGAGTTTCCCAGGCAGGTGAGTGTTTGTGTTAGGACACGTGCAAGAAATGATCGAATATTGCAGCATTAGGCATATAGATAACAAACCCTCAACTTAAAAACTAATTGTTTAACCAGCCCCAAAGATAACTTTCCCATTAAATGTGAGAGTTCGACCCTTGCCTCTGCGACACTTGACTTCTTCCTAATTGTTATGACCACATAAATTTCATTTTATTTCGCTTCAACTATGCGGTTGTCACAGAGTTCATCGATTTTATCGGTTTCTTCTTCAAAGGAAGCAGCGCCAAGTCTTCTTTTCGAGCTCTCTTGAGAAACTCATCATCCGTCGTCTAGAATAAATCGAGTGTGAAATTCGATAAGTGGCTGGGGATTGTCTGAGTGCCAGACGATCACAAACTGCCACTTCAATTGGGAGTGGGATGTTCTTTTTGTTTATGAACAACCAAAATCGACAAATACAAAACAATTATGGTTGAATTATGAATTACGATCCACTTTATGTGACTTTTACGATGGCAATTCAAATTTGTTTCGTGTTTCTCAAATAAAAAACGAAGTCTGTTAACTCTTAATTCCTTTTTGCTGTCCTGAACAGTTTACTTTACTTTTCTTTTCCACATTCATTGCAAATTCCATAAGTACTAAAATTATTTTTAATAATTATAAATACTTATCTGGAAAACACACACTTTCATTGGCAATTTCATCATTCTACACCCACCGACCACCCCGCTAAATGGAATGATTTACATGAAATTCTCATTTTCCCAGGGCCAACCACTTGACTTATGACCACCACCACCACCACGGACCACTCCGCCCTCCCCAACTCCTTGGGTTGACTAAATCGCTACTAAGTATTATACTATATAGATTATATGGCTGGGCTACGCACACACTCTCAAACCGACACGAATAGAAAAATGCTTGGGAGTAGAGCACACACTAAAGACACTAAGCACGACAAAAAGACATTAAACACGACAACGAAATAAAAAAAACATTGAAGTTCCTTATCAGCATTTCCGCTTTTCGTGACCAATGTCTTGGAGTGTGCACACACGCTTATACTCGTATTTAGGAAAAGCCAGAGTGTGTAATGATATTGGTTACAGTGTGCTGGTGTGCGTTTTCAGGAATATCAGTTTCGCACACTCCATGGATCTCAGTTGGCATGCAAAGGTTATAGAAATGGAAAAGGCGAGGTCGGGGGTCGGCTTCCCCCTCTGTGCTCTCCCTAACTCAACCTCCCTCCCTTACAGTTAGTCTTAATTTCTGGACATGCTCTTGGCCACACTGGTTATCCTCCATTATTCATAAATATGCAAATGCCAGGGCGTAATAAATTCCTGATGCATGGCCAACGGCTGCGGGTCAATTTCTAGCTCACGCTCATGGGCTTTACCTTTGCAGAGAAAGAAACATCTAATACTAAAACATTTTACTAGATTTTTAGCATACATCTTTCTTACAGATCATAGATAATAAATAGTTCGATTTTTTACTTAATTTGATTATTAAAATTTACAACAAAATAATACAAGAAAAAGAGGTAGTAGTTTTTGAATTTTTCCCTGTGCATCCTTGCCAGCAATTTGGGCTGCAAGTGGTTGTGTGGTTCAGTGGCTGCGTGGTCGTAGTTGAGCTGTTGGGTGGTGCTCGGCCTGTTTAGCACTCAATCTGAGGCGGCTCCTCCGAACCGCTGGCATATGCCACATTACCTCCGCAGCAAATTAAATGGTCTCGCATTTGGCCCAGCTCAAACTCAGTTCTTAGTTCTGATTCAGGCTGTTCTGTTCCGTTCTTGGATTCTCGTTAGGGGCGGTTGCATGTGGTGGGCGGTGCCCGTTCACACACACACACACACACTCCATCCTTTTGTGTGTGTAATCTGTGGAAACCACACACATGCATTCGCCACAGGACAGAAGTCGGAGGACAAAAGTCCAGGAGAGATATGCTCTGAGATGCGGGCGTGACTCACGAGTGGGAAAAGTAATTGAAATGCTGACTGATTTGTGTGGGTGATTATGAGAAGATCATTAGGGATTATCAGTCAACTTATATCGTAACATATTTTTAGGATATTCTACAGCCCAACTAAATCTTTTCTTATAATTGTTTAAAAACTTTCACGTTTTTATAAATATTTATGTTCGATAGTTAAACTCTTGAAACTCGTTTTATTATAATTTAATTTCTTATTTCAATTAGACAGTGTACTTACGAACATCAATTTTCCAGTCTCGTGTAGGTCCTGGGAAATAGTTTGTTGTTTGGGCTTCCCAGGATGATTGTTCCCGCCTGGACATGGATTTAAAACAACATAAATCATACATTTTTTGCACTGGCAAAGGGACAGCCCAGCTCCCTCTGATGAACCCCCAAGAAACCCCCAGCCCACCCCTTACAAGGGGACTGTGTATAATGCGCACAATCGCAGCCAGGACACGAAATCGGAAGGAAAGGAAGTCCTAATGTGTGGGGAGTCAGTCAGTCAGTCAGTCAGATGAGGGGGTAGTCAAAGGTCCAAGGTCCGGAATGAGAACTGTTTGCGCAGCACAAAAATGAGTTTTCTTTTCCGGCAGTCCTGGCAGTTGGACCTTTGTGAGGATGGCAGGACACAGGCATTGCCATCGTTACTTCTTCGGGACTTGAGCTTGAGTTTGGCTGGGCAAACAAGCGTATAAATTGAGTTATAATTTGTTCAGCTCCGGATGTTGGCTTCTCCGTTATTTAAATGAATCCTCCTGATTTTCTGATAAGTCCTCAGACATGTGGCAATTGGTTGTTATCCTTTCTGGTCGCTTGCCTTCTGATTTTCGGGGTTTACCCTTAGCCGCAATCATTTCAAGCATATTTGCTACGGTCTTCAAGGGTTCCGCAAAGGCAAAAGAACGGAAGGAAAACTATGATTGGCTTAGAGGCAATTGGTCATGGTCGTAGTTCCTTGGATGAGGAAGACTAAACGGATGTGTGGTTGGTGTTTGAATAAAGGAGTTTAAGTTGGGGAGCTGAATTGAGGCCACTTAAGATTTCAAAGGAAAGGAATTCGTTTTAATAATTGTACTTCAACGGCTTACTTCGAACCTACTATTTCCTCTAATTACCTTACCAAAACAACCAGATTTTCGTCCTGTTTTCCCGTGCTTAAAATGTTGCAAAATTTTCCCTTTTTGCCTTTACTTAATTGTATACAAAAATATTGTTTTTAAGAATTAAGGCAGGCAGAACTAATACATTGTAATTAAGCAAATTTTCAGGGGAAAAAATGAGAAGTGAGAGGTAGCCAACCTTTATCAGTGGGGAGAAGGCCACTTAAAATGGCAGCCCAACCACCCGCTCAACCCCTTCGATTAAAATGCGTACAATAAAATTGTGATTTCTTTTCGAGAATTTTCATTTGTACTTTTATTTTCATATATATACCTTTCTCACAATGCGTTTTTTTTCGCATTCTTAATGCTTGAAATGGCAAAATGGCAAAATGGCAGTTTACGCTCGGTTCACATTTTGTCCTGTTGCTGGCAGAAAACCCAGCCCCTTTCCCCATTTTCCCCCTGGTTTGCCACATTGAGTGGCACTCTCGAGCATGTCTTTACATCTCTTTACGCTTGGCTATGGCCGTCAAAAGGGGGAGATTGAAAAGTCAGTGGAAAAGCGGGGTTGGGGGACACTCTCGGGGGGAAAATGGCGGACCCATACATATAATTGAGTTATTACTTTAAATATAAATACATCACACCACTATCATCAAGTGCTCAACAC